ATTTCCGCCCACAGAACTGCCGCTCACTGGATGTTTTTTCTTTTTCGGACCATTCTCTGTAAACCCTAGAGATGGTTGTGCGTGAAAATCCCAGTAGATTAGCAGTTTCTGAAATACTCAGACCAGCCCTTCTGGCACCAACAATCATGCCACGTTCAAAGTCACTCAAATCACCTTTCTTCCCCATACTGATGCTCGGTTTGAACTGCAGGAGATTGTCTTGACCATGTCTACATGCCTAAATGCACTGAGTTGCCGCCATGTGATTGGCTGCTTAGAAATTAAGTGTTAACGAGCAGTTGGACAGGTGTACCTAATAAAGTGGCCGGTGAGTGTATATATACACACACGTACACGTACATATATAGAGAGTATGTGTGTGTGTGTATATTTTTCTTTATATCGCAGTGACATTGTCAGTCGCAGTGAATCCTGTCCAGTCTCTTGCAATCAATATCACACATAGAGTAATGTGTAAATTTGTACTGTTCAAACTTATATATGCCATACATATACAGTAAAGTCTTGTGCATTTTTAATCATTGTCATCAAAATCGTATCCATAGTTTACATCTGAAAATGCTGACATAGTACACTATTATATTGACAACATGACTGAGCATTTTGATTATCTTGCATGTGAACAATGACACAAGTACTTGTCATTTTGATGGCACTGATATGTTCATTGAAATAAATACTTAATTTGAGAGATGAACTAAGGATTTTGAGCAAGTTACAGGGTTTTGCAGGTAATCCACTGTGTGGTGCTGTTTGTATGAATTGTTTTGAAAAAAGCACAGATAGTTCACCCAAAAATGTAAATGTTGTCATAATGTACTCACCCTCAAGTTGCTCCCAACCGGTATGAGTTTCTTTCTTCTGCTGAACACAAAGGAAGATATTTTGAAGAATGTTGGTTACCAGACAGTTGACGGTAGCCACAGACAATGAAGAAAAAAATACTATGGAAGTGTAAACTATCAACTGTCTGGTTACCAACATTATTTAAAATGTCTTATTTTGTGTTCAGCAGAAGAAAGAAACTCATACAGGTTTGGAACAACTTGAGGGTGAGTAAATGGGGATAGAAATAACATTTTTGGATGAACTATCCTTTTAAGGATGATTCGAAAAAGGTATTAAAGCGACTCAAAGAACAAGCTCACTAGTCGTTTGTGCGTGAACTCAACTACGCTGTTTGTGCAATGTTTTTGATTCACTAAAAGCAATTGTATTGCTGTATTGGATTACAATAGTCATGCTGTATTTGTTTGTGTTTGCATGCAGCCTGCAAGGACAAATTAATAGAAATGCCTTTTTCTTTACATTATTTTGCATGCATGTGTCTCTTAACATTCAATTTTGATTGCACAAACTTGCAATTAAATGATTTATTGTAATATAATTATGAATTATTTTTTTGCCATGGCCCCAGCAGTGAAAAGCAGAAAGCGGTAAGTACCAATGCATATGCACAATAAAAATATCTTTCTAACTGCATTATTAGTGGCGGTTTTATCTCTTGTCCCTATACAAATAGGGTCCAAGAATGCTAATCACTACAACAAGCAGTGTCTGGCCATGGCCTCTTTAAGAGCAAAATCCAATCAATTTTAATTATCCGGTTTTTGTGTGGCTAACAGAAATACGGTTAAAAAAAAAAAACAGCTGCCATGAATACAGAGGCCTGATAAAGCCTTTCCGTTGTACAAGGCAAAAGACAAACTCTCCTACCTGCATTAATGAAGAACAGGATATATTTCATTTATTGTGTCTGGCCCAGCAAATCAATACTGCCATTCTGTAAGATTATCTCATTTTGTAATAATTCGGAGTACCATTATCTGCTCTCATGCTTTAATGATCCAAATCAAGAACATAAGGTGAGAATACACTAAAGATCTTGGTATTTGTTTGGAAAGACTGAAACCAAGAAGTTGGTATTAGATTTGGTCACTGTTCTCATTTTGATAACCCTCCTCTTTTTCTCATTTTTACATCTCTCAGGTATAAGCTCATGAGTATTTATATTGAGATGTGTGAATACCAAGATATTTATGTTGCCTGGAGGTAGCAGTATACCCAGCATCCACAAAGTGGCTCATATAGAAACATCAAAAAGCTAATTCAACTGTTTGTTTCCCCATCACCATACCTCGCACTGCCGTATTTTTCCAAAGCAAGGCATCTACAGGGGTAGCACAGTATAGACATTATATGATTTATTCACCCTGAGTTATTCTAAACAATTTTAGCCAGAGGAAATTTTGAAATAGGATAGAGAGTCTCCAGCAGCACTGGAAGGAAAAACAATTAACTATTTCTGAACTGAGAAAACACAGGTTTGTTCTTTGGCTTGGCTCCATTGACTGTAATGTAATAACTAATAAAAAACTTTTGATTTGTTTAACTTATTTGGTGCACGTTTTTAATTTAATGAATTATTTAGGATTTGTTTGCTACTGTTTTCGCTTATATGTGCCCTTGTAATAAAGGCCAGCTAGTAAAGAGCTGTGCTTACCCTCCAAGCCTCAAGAGGCGCACTTGCAACTGACTGTAGCCTTTTATGTCCTTGCAGTGTTGCCAACTATTTTCGAAGGAAAGTAACAACAATAAAGCTGTACTCATTTACATATTTTCTGTCAGACAACAGAAAGAATATGATACAGACTACAGATGAGACTGACTACATGTTAACTAGCAGTTCAAAAAGTCACTAGTTTGGTCGCTAGTCACTTTTTTAAAGAAAAAAAGTCGCTAAAGTGGTGTGAAAGTCGCTAAAATTGGCAACACTGCATCCTTGTTAGCACACCCACCTCCCATGCCCTATGGGAGGTACCAAATTAGGCCTATTTAAAATAATTCTATTTTTTTATTTAATTTTAAAATGATTTATCTGTGAAACAGAAATATTAAAAAGGAAAAGGAAAAAGGATAAACAGAAACAGATTTTCAATTTGGGCTGAAGAGGAGTTTTTTCCAGAGGAGTTTAAACATAACAGGTGGTGAAGATTTTAGCTGTTGAGAAATTATGTGAAATTTGCTTTATGGCTCCAGATCTTTGATTTGTATTTCCTTCAGATCCCCGAGATGACACAATTCTCACAGAGAGATGTCTTTGGCTGCTGCTAGTCTTGCTCTGTGATGTTTGAACCTGTTAATCTGACAAATTGCGGGAAGGATTTTAGAGTTATCTTCTTCACACCTAATGCTTCAAACCCAGATCAATGACTCAGCTTCACTGGTTTGATCAAGAGCAGAAAGGCTCAGAAGAGACAAAAATCATCTCAGTGTCTGGACACATTTCATTTGTACTATTTTGATGGTATTCCCATATGAATAAATGGCACAAATGCTTAGAGACTTCACTGTCCAAAATGTTCATCTGTTCTAACAGACAACTTGGCATTATGATAAATCACTGATGATAGATCTCAGAATGTCTGGTTGCTGTTGAGCCAAAACAAATGATATTCAGAAGGACAGTGTCTCGGCTTACTCTTAAATATTTTCACCTAAACGTAAAATGATATTTCTATAGGCTATTTCAAAACTTGCCTGAAATAAATAACGATTAATTTTGAGCAAATTTTTAAAAATGTTCAGATAAAAACATCACAGGCATAGGAATATTTCATTAATATTCATTAAATAATTTAATTAGAAGTATTTGTAATTATACAAAATGAGAGTAATGGTTAACAATCTGAATAATTTCAAGCTGGCTCATTTTCCCCAAATTTTTTTGGACTACATTTAATGTTGTAAAGCTTAAATACACTGGTAGCTTTTAAATGATTGGTTTTGTTGCTTTGACAGGATTTGTTGTTATTTTTAATTTTTTGGGGTATATTGTGTCATTACACTGCAAAGGTGACACAGCATCTGCATCATGGCATTTATGTTTACTTGTAGACTGTTTAATGCTGCTCAAAGGTGGCATGGCATACACAACAACTGCTTAATGTTGATAGTCTACATTAATTATATTTAATTATCAAATAAAAAAACAGGAACTCATTAAAGGATAGCGCTCCATGTGTTATGACAAAAAAAAAACATTGTTGTCTATTATTGCTCTTGATATTGTAATAATGATTAATAGCCTATTAACAGAATACATAAAAACGTTTTTTTTTCTTTTTTCTTGGGGGTGGCACTTTATATTCTGGCTACAAAGACAAAACTTGCCAAGACTTATTATAGCATTAAAAACAAAGTGGTTATTCAAACCGGGAGTCAATCATATAGGAAAACGAGCAAAGACTGTTCCCCATCACTAAAGTAAGTGGTCTATCACTTCATTGAGTTTATACGCTCTGGCAAAAATCCAGTTATATATAATCACTAGAACCACTTGAATCTTTTAATTTGATCTGCACTTTGTTGTTTATGAAGAGAATAAACAACAAAGTTCATGTTGTAATTCATGAGAGTGTAGAATTCAGTGCTGAACAAAAATCTTTGTTTTAAAATTACTAAATCTGACTGGCCATTGCATTCATAAACTCAACAGAGGTGTGTTTTAAAAGCTGCCACAAATGATTAAAAAGAAATCTGATGCAACTTGAGCAGATCTAAATGTAAAACCCCAATTAGGTTTGGGCCTATATGGGGCTGAAAGCGCTATATAAAGTAAACATTATTATTATTATTGGTACACACACACATACACACACACACACACACACACACACACACACACACACACACACACACACACACACACACATATATAAATATATGATCATTATCACACACACACACACACACACATATTATAGATTGTAATGATAATCAATTAAATAAAATACTCAGTGCACCTTGAAAGACTGTGTGACCAGACCACACATGTATACAAGCACACGACAGAGAGAGAGAGAGAGAGAGAGAGAGAGAGAGAGAGAGAGAGAGAGAGAGAGAGAGAGAGAGAGAGAGAGAGAATGCAGACAGGACATCTGGTAGCTCTTTGCGCTCCAAGTCTCTTCAATCAGCAGAATAACTCTTACCGAAAGATGAGAAAGCGTCACAGCAAACTGCGATGAAACCTATGGGAATCGAATGTGCAAGATGACAAATGATCAAAGATCTCACACGTGCACTTTCTGGAGATAACAAAAATGTTTTGCTTTGGGAAACTCTGCAGATTATCTCCATCTTGAATGCGAAAAGAGAGGATCATTGAGCCTTGCTACATGTACAAATGGATATTATTTTACCGCTTTCTGTTCCTACCGATGCGCATTTTCGCGCTTTTCCTCAGTGGAGGCGGTTGGAGTGCGACGGGTTTTCCTCGCGCTGGGCACCTGTTGTATGTTAGTTAGACGAATCAGTCACGAGTCAGTGCAACATCCAAAAAACAACAGGTGAGGTGATATACTGTTATTTCATAAAAGGGTAGTTCACTTAAAATGCAAATTATGTTCTTTGCTCACACTCATGTTGTTCGAAACCTGATTTTTTATTCGTTAAACACAAAATGTTTTTTCCCCCATACAATGAAAGTGAATGGAGACGGAATAGCCTACATCTCATTTTGTGTAACACAGAAAAATAACTCACACATGTTTAGAACAACACGAGGGTGTGTACAACACAATTCAAATTTTAGGTGTACGATTCCTAAAGACAACGAGTTCTATTTTATAAACGCGCTCCACACGGTTAATGAATGATTGTGGTATAACATAAATAACGCATTCAATCTCAAGTAATTTAACGCTTAACATAACTACAGCACCGCCTGAAGTGTAGCCTGTTTTCACAATCCATCTGCCTACCTGTTTGGGGCATCATATGCGCGTGCATCACATTTGGGCATTAGGTGCGCGTGTAGTATTTTTTGGACATTTTGCTAACTCGAAACGCGGCAAAAACAAGCATCTATGGCCAGAAATTCTGCTGAGGTAGGCAGCTCACTATATTTTGAGACAACAATCATGAGTGGCGACTAAAGAGCGCACTGCGCACTGCTCTCTCTGTGTTTACCAACCACTTCTGCGCACAGTCTGAAAATGCCCTCATAGGTAAAGCCTCTTTACTAGGTAAAAAGGTTTTTAAATAGATCAAAAATAATCTCATAATTCAAATCTACGAATTGCAACGTTGTTTAAAAAGCCTTTAAAATCGAAGTAAACATTTGGTCTAAGAATTGCATGTCTCTCTCTTGTATCAAGTTTACATAGTCTTCTCAAAGTGTGGACTGAACCAATTCATTTAAATCAAATCTGTTGTTTTTGCTTAATTAAATTTAAAATCTAAAACAATAGCAAATGGTTGGCTAAAAAGGGAATTATGAGTGGCATCTGGGTCAGTTATTAAATTCAGACTTCTCATACTTCTTAGTGCACATACAACAGCACCTTTTGTAGAATATAGCCTACAATTTTTTATGAAAGGAAATAACAGGCTAAATTCGACACAAGTTCACCAGAGGGAACTATTCAGACTTATCAAAACGTGACATTTCAAGTATGTTTAATCAAAACATCATGATTACTTTTTAATGACAGGTTTAGGGTTTACAGTGCAAATGTAACTTAAAACTAGAAAGAATAGCACACAATTAAGTTTTAGCTTTATAAATGTGTAACAATAGAAGCCTATGGAAGGTCCTCATATATTGTACAAGTTTGTAAGACACACTGAGAAGCCGAGAAGTGTGTTGGGGACCATAATGTTTTATCAGTAGACTATTTTTCAAACCACACATTAAGCACTGCAGGGCCATCATTATTTACAGGTTATGGTTATTTATATCTTGTCAATCAGCCACATTCAGCTCTTATCCAGATGACACATATGCAGATTATCAGATACAAATAATGACTTGGATGACCCATGTTTTCTCTTTAATCCAAGAGTTAATTTAATTCTCATTAATCCAAATGACAGTTTACAAGACAGCATTTTCATACTGTGGTAAAAGAGATTAATTGTATTTGGCCCTCATCACACACTCAGGACTGTGTAAGAAACCACATTATGAACATTAAACATATATCTACTAAATATGCGTTAATAATTATATTAACAATAGACGTCTCTAGGAGATAGTCACAAGTATAAGTGTTCATTTAACTTAATGTACTGTATATTTGGACCATTAAAACACCATGAGGTCATTGAATAGTAACTGTTAAATCTGTCGAGAACCAAAATGTTTTAACAGCATGTTCCTGTAAAGCACACAAGAGAAAGCACTTGCATAAAACATCAGCATCATCTGCAGACCCCTGTGGCCATGAACCTATTATGACAAATATCCAGCTCATATCCAAAGAACACGTAAATGCAGATTTCAGCTGCTACAAATATTTAAATCATGTCGTCTATAGAGTACTGCAGCGACGACATATCTATTAGCCAACCCGGAAGTGAGCATCTTCCTGGTTCCCTCAACACAAATCCAACATGATTTTTTTTTTATTGGATTTTGGATTATTTGCATTAATAAGCTCTGTGACCAACAACAGTTTGATTCTTATATGCTTTGTTCATCAGGATAATCTTCACAAATGAACACATCTTTTATAAATTTTGAAGCCTAATACAGTCACCGGATGTAGGATATAAATGACCTACACCACTTTCATATGACTTCAACATCCCTATCACTAAGCTTCTGACAACTATTTCAGTCTTCATTTAAGATTTTTTTTTGCAGAATAGTTAGAATAGTTTGCAAGAGCATGATTATAAACTCAGTGAGGCTGTTAAAGTAAGTAGATAAGTTTAGACTGCCTTTATCAAGACAAATGAAGCTTAAAAAAAATCACAAAGGGGGTATTACTGATGTATTGTTTTTTATGTTGTAGAATAAAAGGTGAAAATATATTGAGCTTGAGTTAACCACCCTCTATTGTGATCCAAATGACCGCTTACAAGAGGGCATTTCCAGAGATCATTTGCATGTTGAGAGAAAGCAAAACTGATCCCAACATTTGAATATTATATGCCTGCATGGTATACAGTTTGGATAATGTTAACAGGTTGAATTTTTATTGATTAACATTAATGATGCATTTTGAAGGTACTGAGTTGCTTATAAAACCCAGTCCATGGTATTCATTTATGGCACAATTTATAAAAAAGTGTTCGCTTAACTCCATTAAGAGCTTGTCCCATTAGAAGTATCTGAGGTTTTCACTGTGGCCTTCAACAAAACACCTAAATTTAATAACCTCAGAGTCAACAGAAAACCAAGCAAATGAGGGCTGAGTGTCATGCTAATGGGTTTTTGGGTGTGGAGATGATGGTTTACAATGCTTAAAGCCATTTCCTGTGTAATGCATGATTCCTACCCTCATTTACCAGCATCTCTTCATTGTCTGTACTGGCTCTCTCTGTTTCCATCTCTCTCCATGCCCAGTCGTCTCACATGAAGGCATTGCAGCAATGTCACAGCTCTACTTACGCAGAACGGACAACTTAGGGTTCAGAGACCGGATCCCGCTGCAGATAGTTCGAGCCGAGTCGGAGCTGTCACCGCTGGAGAAGGCCTACCTGTGCGCTGTGGAGAAAGGTGACTACGCCAGCGTCAAACAATCGCTGATAGAAGCCGAGATCTACTTCAAAATCAACATCAACTGCATCGACCCTCTGGGGCGGACGGCTCTGTTAATTGCCATTGAGAATGAGAATCTGGACATCGTCGAGTTGCTGCTCAGCTTTGGCGTGTACGTGGGGGATGCGCTCTTACACGCCATACGAAAGGAGGTGGTGGGGGCTGTGGAGTTGCTTTTGAATCATAAAAAGTCCAGCGGGGGCATGCAGGTAAGACGCCAATCACTGACAAATTTACTTTAGAGTTTCCAAACCGAAATGATTTGATGTCTCTCCTACTGTAGCATCCTTGAAGGGTCCTCCCTTCAATTCAACTTAAAAGCTTTGAAAGAAGTGTTCTTTTTAATAATATTAGTAGTTATTTTCTTGTTTTTGCATGAAGATGGCTTGCATTATCTTTCTCACTGTCTTGCAGCTGAAGATTAATTAATTTTTCACTTTGTTTGAAGCGCTATGATGACCCTTGCTAATGACTTTATCGCCACACAGTGTAGCAAATTGGTCCTCTTGCGCCATGTCACTGAAAAAAAAGGTGAATTTGTCATTTCAGCTGGTTAGGCTTTTTGTGGGACAGCACAGAATAATTGAATCATGCAACATTTCCGGCGACACGAGGGAAAGTGACCGTTGGCGACTGGATGGGTCACTGACGAGTCCAGCGGATGAGTCCAGGAACGCGACAAAGTTGAGATATGTTCAACTTTATGCAAATGAAGAGCGACTTTTAGGAGCGACAACCAATAGGAGTGAAGGCAGTGGACGCACGTGATCCGTCGCTCTTCAGTGCCGAGTCCGACCAAGGCAAGATGAATGAGAAGCTCATTTTAGCAGTCAGTAACTGTCCTATAATTTATGATATGCCTCCGTGTTCATACGGTGGTACTCGCGCTGCTGACTCCGAGCCTGTGCTTTCGTGAACCCAGATAGACCGGCATTTGCCCGTTTGCTGCAGTTAAATAGCCGCGATGGCAAAGAGCGCTCGCTGTTTCTCGTTCATCTTTAATATTAGGCATGTTATGTACTGATTCCATTTATATTTAGACTTTTCCTTCCAAAATGTTTGTTTCACGAGTTACATACAAATGTAGGCTACATACAAAACATACAAACATACAATTAGAGGGAGTAAAGTTTAATGTGTATTTGGCGTGCTGTCCTGGGGGAGGGCTCTGAGCTCGGAGTTCGGGCCAAACCCAGAGTACTCCCCTTCCCGTATGTAAATGGTTAGGACTAGAAGTGTGGAGAAGGTGGTGGTGGAGGGATGCTGCTAACTGTCAACGAATTGAGGTGAGACTGCTGAATATATATACACCTCTTATCGTTGATTGCTGAGTGCTCTCCACTCGTGTCATTATCTGAGCATGCTCCTCCCAAACTTTGTTAATAAAACATCATTTGCAGCGACAAGAAAACGGATTGGTTCTACAACATGGAGTAACATTCGTGAATGATACTCACAAACATTACTAGGCAACAAGTAGTGGGAACCCACTAGCGTCCTAACCGCCAGCCACTGGCGACAAGTAGCAACAAAGTCGCTTGTAGAGTGTGCGCAACAATTTCACACGGACAGGTATTTGTTATTATGGCGTCGTGGGTATAAAGTTCCCACAGCATCTCTCTCAACGCAGCTCAAGTTCCCTTGAGAGGGAACGTCTCAGGTTACATATGTAACCCTGGTTCCCTGAAGAGGGAACGAGATGCTGCGTCGCCCTGCCATACTCCCGGCAGGCCTGTGATCAACTTTCTTCAGTCTATCAGAAACTAGCGCGGTTTGATTCTCGGTATGCTTAGTTTATAGTTTCCTGGTCTTCAGGGAACCAGGGTTACCAGACGTTCCCACTCAAATTTCTTGTAGTCTAAACAGAAAAATTAACCTGATCCAGATCACATTTATAGGAGGTTTGCAACCCATTTAAAAATTGGATTTGGATTGGATTAGACTGAAAATTTGTTTTAGTCTAAACAGCTTGTATTTAAAATCTTTGCATCTTTCATGGCACAGCATGTGTGTAATGTCATACAGAATAGTGTCCAAATTCACACATTTTCCCTCAATTCTACCCTAAATCTGGCTAACTATGTTGTATGAAAGTCATCTCATGAGTATGAGTAAACAGTAATATAATTATAGGACTAGAAATGGTATTCATTAACGATAACAGGTCTTTTCCCACAAATTTCTTGTGTTATCATAGACGTAGAGCTACACTGCCATTCAAATGTTTTGGGGTTCAGTATGACATTTTGAAATGGATCAGAAGTGACATTAAAGACATTTAAAAATGTTACAAAAGACTTATATTTCAAATAAATACTTTTCTTTTGAAATTTTGATTTATTTCTATTCAAATGCATCATGGTTTTCATAAAAATATTTAGCGGCACAACTGTTTTCTACATTTATAATAATAAGAAACGTTTTTTGAGCATCAAATCAGCATTTTAAAATGATTTCTGAAGGATCATGTGACACTGAAGACTTGGAGTAATGATGCTGAAAATTCAGCTTTGACATCACAGGATTAAATTACATTTTAAAATAGAATACAGTTATTTTACATTGTAATAATATTTCAAAATATTACAGATTTTGCTGTTCTGTTTCAGATTAAACAAATGCAGCCTAATTGGGGACCATTAGAGACTTCAAAAACATAAAAATGTTTATTGACACCAAACGTCTGAATGTTAGTGTATACATTTAGCATGTAATGTAGCACTTTCATTCAAAGCAAATTACATCAAAGACATTATAACGGAGAGGAACAAGAACACTTGTAGAGAAAAATCAGAACATTCAATATGGCAGCAAAGCTATTTGATTGGGGGCTTGCTATCTGATTTATTTCTTTTTTGCAGTGGACTTTCTGTTTATCAGCCCTGGTTTCTTGTTTTTTTTCTAGGTGCCCCCTATCCTGTTGGATAAACAATTCTCCGATTTTACCCCTGACATAACGCCCATTATTTTGGCCGCACACACCAACAACTATGAGATCATCAAGATGCTGGTTCAAAAGGGGGTGTCCGTTCCCCAGCCCCACCAGGTGCGTTGCAACTGCATGGAATGCGTGTCCGGCTCAGACGTGGACAGCCTGCGACATTCCAGATCCCGTCTCAACATCTACCGGGCTCTGGCCAGTCCTTCGCTGGTCGCCCTATCCAGCGAGGACCCCTTCCTGACGGCCTTTCAGCTTAGCTGGGAGCTCCAGGAGCTCAGCAAGGTGGAGAATGAATTCAAGTCAGAGTACGAAGAGCTTTCCCAGCAGTGCAAGCAGTTTGCCAAAGATATGCTCGACCAGACGCGCAGCTCCAGAGAGCTTGAGTTGATTCTGAACTACAAGGATGATATCAATTTCCTGGAGGAGGAAGGGAGTAATGATCTAGCCAGGCTGAAACTGGCTATCAAGTACCATCAGAAAGAGGTGAGATATTTGCTCTCCAAATGTCAGCAATGGTTCTGTGACAACAAGAACTTTGAAAGCAATCCTCAAATGCTGCTAGATCATTAGCAGAAGCGCAAAACATCACTCCAGATAGGAACAACACTCAAGCATATTGCAAAGGTTCACAGGTGTTCAGCTGTTTGTGTCAGTAGTCTGGGATTATATTTGGATGGCTGCCCTGTTGATTTAGCAATGTAGTGTATTTTACACATTGTGGATAATTGCAGGTGGTGGTGTGCTTAAATCTAATTTGCAAATTTGGGTCTTTAAAGCTGAGCAGAAAATGTTCACCTCAAGATAATAGGTTGAGTTTTTATGGGAAACTCTGGCCATCAAGATCTACTTCCCTGTAGAATTTGTCTGCAACCCTGATCAAACAGACTCACCTGCCTGTAGCTATTTTTAGTAATCCTGAAGACCTTGATTAGCGTGTACAGGTGTGTTTGATTAGGACTGGAACTCTGGATGAATCCGAAATCACCCCCCATACCCTAAAATAGGGCATTATTTGAGGGGACAGCCAGTAGTGGTGTCCGAAACCATAGTGGACGTAATAAATGACCAATACGTGCACTCATTCTATCCCACATTGCACCGCAATAACGAGTGTATAGCCGATGTACACTCAACAGCTGTCTGAATTCGCTCACTCGTTTTCATTCACTTCTTCAAGTGAACTGTGTCAATAGACTAACGTAGGGAATAGTGATTGAGGGTTTAGGGGGTGATATCTGATTCAGCCTCTGCTGGAAAGTGGATCTTAAGGGCCAGAGTTGCTCACCCCAGAGGGATTTTGCAGGGTGGCTGCAGCATGATGTGGATCTATGTTGCCCCCCTCTGTCCAGACGAAACATTACAAGCTCTTTCTGTTTAAGGTTGAAGGACATTTTTTTCTTATGCAGGAAAGGTTTCTATGTGGTGATATATGTCATCTGGCAAGCTACTTTGTCATGCATGTGTACAGTACTGTATGTGTGTGCTTGCTTAAACATGACTGAAAATGGAGAAGTGATGTGTGCTTACAAGCTGTGGAAGATGTTGCCCTTTATTCACATGTAGCATCTGTATGTAATTTAACAGAGGCACAGCAGAATATTACTTTTCTTTTGCTGTATCATTGAAATTCCTCTGGAAGATCTTCTACATCACAAACAGTTGACAACAAGCTAGGCTTAACCATTCTTTTTCATTATTTGTCTTACATGGAATTACACACTCAGAACCAAAAATGAGATATTAGATAATACTACACTGTTTATTTATTAATTATTGACAACATATAAATAGTAATAAAAAAAAATCTGGGTTTTTTTGTATATTAAAAAATAATTAAAAATATAAAAAATATAAATAATCATGTTTTTAATTTAATTAATTAAATATATATTTTTTATTTTATTATTTTTTTTACCACATATTCTGCAGATTTGGGAAAAAGTAAGAGTTAAGTATCATTGACATCTATGTTTAATTCACACATGAGTCAGTGTTTGGCTTGCTGCGTTCCATATGTGGCCCAGATGGTTTTCAGAAAAGGTGCAGAAAAGATATAGGGATTTAAACCAGATATGATGAGAACCAGAGAGAGCAGCCCGAGAAAAAAGAAAAGAAAAAAAAGCCTTTTTGTGCCTTTTGTGTTTGCTCTTTTTCAAATGGCACTTGTTTCTCATTAGGACATGGCATGGTTATTTGTGTTCTCCCGCAGAGAGCATTTGATGACAGTCTCCATGCATGAGAGAAGTTAGAAAATGATTTTTGTTTCACTGCACATTACAGAAAATGCAAGCAAATCGTTAAATTACAGTTCAGGCAAAATCTCAGCAACTCTATACATGTACTGTATGTCTTGATTTATTTGTGGTTAACAGTGAATTTACTCCTTTTAGAAAGTTCATTTATTTAATTAGTCAATTTCATCTCTTTTCATTACTCTGTGGTTAGTTTGTAGCACAGCCAAACTGTCAGCAGCTGCTCGCAACTCGCTGGTACGATGAGTTCCCAGGCTGGAGACGCCGCCACTGGGCCAGCAAGTCTGTCACCTGTATGTTCATCGGATTCCTCTTCCCCTTCTTTTCGCTGTTCTACTTGATCGCCCCCAAGAGCCACTACGGCCTGTTCATCCGAAAACCCTTCATCAAGTTTATATGCCACACTGCTTCTTATCTGACCTTCCTCTTTCTCCTGCTGTTGGCCTCCCAACATGTGGATCACAACAGGAATACCACTATGAATGACAATATGAATCCCACTAAGCAGGCCCCAAAGCCCACCGTTACCACTGTGGAATGGATGATTCTACCCTGGATTTTAGGTAATGTGTTTTTAGGGCTGGACATTTTTTCTGATTTGACCAGTCGGATCAGTTGTAGATTAATTTTCTTTCATATCTTTTGCTTTACAGGCTTTGTATGGGCTGAGATCAAACAAATGTGGGACGGTGGCTTTCAGGATTACATTCATGACTGGTGGAACCTCATGGACTTTGTCATGAATTCTCTGTATCTGGCCACTATCTCATTGAAGATTGTCGCTCACGTTAGGGTAACACATTTAAATTATGTTCAAATGTTATATTTTATCCCTATATAAAATAAACCCTATTGGGGCGGTTTCCCGGACAGAGATTAAGCCTAGTCCTAGACTAAAATGGCTTTTTAAAACAGATTAAGAGAAATCTGCTTTCTATGTCATGGTTTTAAATAGTCTTAGAAGAGTAGAGCTTCTCCAAGACTAAATTGAGGCTTAAATTAAACCTTCCAGGAGGCAGGTTTAACTTCAGATTAATGTTGTGTTTCAAAGAATACACACACACGCGGATTACTTGGACTATGTCAGTGAAGATCAATATAAACGTACGTGTGTGTGTGTGTGTGTGTGTGTGTGTATATGTATGCAACACAGGCATGCTAGTAAGAGGTGCATTAGCGATCAACGCTAGAGACTAGCGTCCTTGTTAACGCACCTGCTTTCCATGCTGGAGACCCTGGTTCGAATCCTGCATAGTGGGTAGAGTAGGAAACTTTGTGTTCATTCACAACATTTGTGTACGCAAAGTTTCTCGGGGAAATACAAATTCTTTTCTGCCATCTCATATTTTTCTTCAACCATGCTCCTGGAGGGCCAGTCCTGCAGAGTTTAGCTCAAACCCTAATCAAACAGTTAATCAAGCTCTTCAGGATTGCCTGATAATCACAAGCTGAAACAGGTTGGATATAAATATAGGGCAGTGGCCCTCCAGGAGCAGGGTTGACCTATGCTTTAGGCGCTTAGGTAGATTCCACAGCTGATGTGTGCAGTTGTTCTTTGCTTTTTGCTTTAAAAGAGTTATATTTTGTTCAGTAAAGTTTTTTGATTGCAGTCTTTTTTCTGCTGTCTTTGCTTTCCTTGCTTCTCAGTTCCATGCAATTTTAAGCTTTTCTTGGTTCATTTCATGTTTTATAGGCAACCTCTGTCATGCTATTTCAGATTATTTTTTATTAATCTGGTTTATTTTAGTTAATGACTCCATAGTCCAGGTGTTAGTAATCGTTACTTAATCTGTGTTTCAGAAAACCATTTTTTAAGCCACGATTAACTATTCTAGATTCCTGACTTAATTTAAACCCTGTCCAGGAAACTGCCCTATTAAAGGGTTAGTTCACCCAAAAATGAAAATTCTGTCAGTAATTACTCTCCCTCATGTTGTTCCAACCCCGTAAGACTTTCGTTCATCTTTGGAACACAAATTAAGATATTTTTGATTAAATCTGAGAGCTAGATCTCTCCTCCATAGGCTTCTTAAGGGATCGAAACTGGCCGGCCCAAAAGTTAGTACAGACATCGTTATAATAGTCCGAGTGACTACAGTGGCTCAACCATAAGTTAATCAAGCGACGAGAATACTTTTTGTGCGCAAAAAACAAACAAAAATAACGACTTTATTCAACTATTCATTTCCTTCCCTGTGGGCCTCGAGTGAGTTCACGTAGTGATATTGCGCAAAGCTTCTGTGTTGCACGTCACACGTAGGCTCGCTATTGGCCGACGCTGGTCATGTGTGTGATGCGTGTGACGTACAACACAGAAGCTTTGCGCAATATCACTACGTGAACTCACTCGAGGCCCACAGGGAAGGAAATGAATAGTTGAATAAAGTCGTTATTTTTGTTTGTTTTTTGCGCACAAAAAGTATTCTCGTCGCTTGATAAACTTAAGATTGAGCCACTGTAGTCACTCGGACTATTTTAACGATGTCTTTCATAACTTTTGGGCCGGCCATTTTCGATCCCTTAAGAAGCCTATGGAGGAGTGATCCAGCTCTCAGATTTAATCAAAAATATCTTAATTTGTGTTCCGAAGATGAACGAAAGTCTTACGGGGTTGGAACAACATGAGGTTGAGTAATTACTGACAGAATTTTTATTTTTGGGTGAACTTACCCTTTAAGTATATATGCTAAATAAATAATATAAATAAAAAATCAAAATCATGGTCCACATAACTGTATTTTAAACCTAAAAGAAAATTTTTTTGTTTAGCATTCAACACATTTCACCTTTCATTGTGGATGACTTGTTGCTGGAAAACATTTTGGGTTATACATGGTTAGGACAAGATGTTAGTCTATTCTTATTTGGAAGCAAGAACAGAATATGACCAGAGGTTGAATACGATGACATACTGTAATTTACAACATTTATCTTTCTGCAGGACTCTGGCAACCAGCCCCGGGAAAATTGGGTGATGTGGCACCCTACCTTGGTGGGCGAGGCCTTGTTCGCCATTGCTAATATATTTAGCTCCCTACGACTGATTTCACTCTTCACAGCCAACTCCCACCTGGGCCCTCTTCAGATCTCCCTTGGCCGAATGCTTCTGGACATCCTCAAATTTCTCTTCATTTACTGCCTGGTGCTGCTCGCCTTTGCAAATGGACTCAATCAACTGTATTTCTATTATGATGATAGCCCTACTCCACAAAAAAACGCCACATGCAAGGGTATCCGCTGCCCAGACCAGAACAATGCATTCACCACGTGAGGAACTGTAGTTTTCTCAGATCTATAGATTTAACCTTCATTTTACTTGCTTTACAATAAATAGTGATATCCTGTTATTTGATTTTTTTTACAGTATGTTTGAGACACTGCAGTCATTGTTCTGGTCCATATTTGGTCTTGTTCAACTGCACGTGACCAATGTTGAACCCAAACACGAGTTCACAGAGTTTGTTGGAGCCACAATGTTTGGGACCTACAACATAATCTCCCTGGTGGTGCTTCTTAATATGCTTATTGCTATGATGAATAATTCCTACCAACATATTGCTGTAAGTATTATAAATTATTAGTTGCTTTTGGGTACATGAAAAAAAAAAATCTGCATCAAAATGTATGCATTTACTTATATATTTAACGTTTATCTATAGTATATTTTGTAATCACTTTTTTGCTTTCATTAATTTTATGACCCATTGGTGTGAAAAGGAATTTTTGAAAGTACAAATACTATACCTTTCAGTTTACTGTTTGATTGGCATGTCTTTGGTTGGTCCACAGGACCATGCTGATATTGAGTGGAAGTTTGCCAGAACTAAACTTTGGATGAGCTACTTCGAAGAGGGTGGAACACTGCCTCCTCCCTTCAACATCATCCCCAGTCCAAAATCAACGTGGTACCTCATCAGATGGATCAAGAGCAACTGCTTCAAAGCTAATCACAAAAAAAGAACAGAGACGCTTGGATCACTTGGGGTAATGAGCTATTTGCTCTCTTTTTCTATTAAAGCAGCACTAAGTAGGAATTCCGTTTTTGTCAAACAGCGACCCCTAGAGTCGCTGTGGAGTACTTGTACTGTCGTGAATAGCACTCACACAGAGATGGCTCGCACTCACGGCCGGATCCCCTCCCCCTGTACACCGGTACCTGTTCAGTAGGATGGACGCTGTAACGAGTGGAAATAAGGTATGGCCCCTTTAAGAGCTGCGCGCGCCCTGTTTAACTGTCGGCAGTCTGTATTGTATGTGCGCCTCGAACACCACATGTATACGGCGCCGGGTTATTTCTGTTTGATGCTCATTTTATCAGAATTTTATCAGATCTGTTTTTTGCCGTAAAGCAATTTGTTACCTCGCGAGACCTGATATCACACGATACTTCCTAACACTGAGGTTGCAAGGGTGGTTTTGCGGCTCACAGGCACCAGGGAGGTGCGAGACGACCACCATTCAACACGAAATCAGTAATATAAACATTACAATGACTCCAAAGCTGTTCGGTTAAGGTAAAAATGTTACTTAGTTCACCTTTAATAATTAATATGAAACATGGGTTAGTCCATATGTCCCTGATGTTGTTTAAATGTTTTTTTTTTCCTCCACGGAACACAATTAGAATGTTCATGCTGCTCTATACCAGACAAAAAGTAGATGAAGATTTAAATTGTCAAGATGTCATACGATTGCGATGTATGAGGAATAAACAACAGTCAATACTAAAAATCTAATATTTGAAGAAACGAAATGCTTCTGTGAACAAAATCATTGGAGCTACTGAGATATTGACTACCTTGTAGTATAGCAAAGTATAGGTGTCATGAAAAATCAATTCAATTGATTTATTCTCTTTTTTTCCAGATTCGAGCTGCTGAAAATGTACGCACAAACCGCCAGTACCAGGTAATGGTGTCTCTCTCAAAGCAACTGATCGTTAAATGCACCAGATGAAAGGTTACAGCCTGCCACCATTTCATTTTATTTCACACGGTGTCAATCAACTTCTGAATTGAGAGATTGATCTTTCCCTTTCACTTTGACTCCTCTGAAAGACTTTAAAGGGATACTCCGCCCAAAAAATGAAAATTCTGTCATCATTTACTCACCCTCAAGTTGTTGCAATCCTGTATGAGTTTTTTTCTTCTGCTGAACACAAAGGAAGATATTTTGAAGAACGATTGGAACCAAACAGTTGTTTGGCACCATTGACTTCCATAGTTAGTAGAAAAAAAAATACTATGGAAGTCAATGGTGCCAAAGTTCCAATCGTTCTTCAAAATATCTTCCTTTGTGTTCAGCAGAAGAAAGAAACCCATACAGGTTTGCAACAACTTGAGGGTTTTTCATTTTTGGGTGGAGTATCCCTTTAAGGGCTGCTTGTTTGGCCTAATCGTTTCTAGGTTCATAACAGATATAATCAAATTTTTTAGGAGGTACTTAGAAACCTGGTTAAGCGGTATGTGGCAGCAATGATCAGGGATGCCAAAAAAGAAGAGGGACTAACGGAAGAGAACTTTAAGGTAAATTGTGTATGGTTGTTTTTTAATGTTGTAATAATAATAATAATTTTCCAAAATTATACTACGAAAGTATTTGACCACAGAATGCCACAACTGGCCGATCTCAATACAATTTCAAACAATTTAACCTTTAAAAAACAGGTCAGATTAATTCAGTCATTAAATAATATATAATTTTTTTCTTTAATAGATCCTATTCATTTTTAGTTACTTAACCTTTTTTTGTACTATGTGATATAAATGTACATGTTTTACTGAGCAATGTGTGAATAATATCATTAATAGGAACTTAAACAGGACATCTCAAGCTTCCGGTATGAGGTGATGGGAATGATGAAGGGCACTAAGATTGGCACGTCGACCTCAAAAGGGAGCGCAGGAGCCTCAAGCCTAGTGCATCCTGATAACCCTTTGAAGAGCAATTCTGCTTCAGCTGGAAGTCAACTGAAGGGCAAAATGAGACTGAAGAGTGTCACCACCTCTATGATCCAGGAGGGCGCACCCAAAGCCAATGTCTGGAAGCCTGGCGGCTGTAGTGGCCTAGCGGGTGGTTCTGTCCCAAACAAGACTGTTGGCCATCAAATGAACTGCAAAGGGCCAAACAACCCGGGAGCGATTTACTCCGTGTCAGAGGAAGCTGGTGAATCCGAAGAACAGGACGATGGCGAACAGGGAGGAAACCTCAATTTCAATGCAGGAAAGAAGCAAAACAAAGAAACAGAGAGAGACAGAGTAAATGAGACTGAGGAAGAGGACGAGGAAATGGTATACATGCGTAAAATGTGTGAGGAAGAAATGAATGAGGAAACCGGATATGAAGGAAGCAGATTATAACGGCATTCAAACTCGGCATTCAAAAGTGACGATCACATACCGAATGCCGGAAATCAAAGAGAAAGATGCTGTTCTCCTGAACCATTCGCTCTATCTCAGGAGCAGCTGTGCTGACGGTCCAGTGCAGGGCGTTGCATATGTATGATACGAACATCAAGTGTCATTCTGGGTCTCAGGGATGATCGTCTCTTTTAGGAGAATAAGAGGTCCAACGTTGTCTTTCACAGTGATTCACACTCTGTCAAGTGTGTAAATGCTCCTGTAGTTTCTCGCTGCTCTGCTCTCCTCTCCTCTCCGCTGAATCATAAATGAAGGAGCAATTACTGAGACCCTTTGCTATTCAGACCTTTCATTCTGCCTTACTCCGTTAGATTTAGCATTTTATGCTATCTGTGGTTCCACCGTAAGAGATGTCATTACCGTCATGCAACCTAATATCTTTAATAAAGTTTACTATGCAAATATTTACAACTTTTCAAACTTTTTAGTCAGGTTTTGCATTGAGCATGTATGAGAGAAGGAACAGGTTAAAGGGTGTTTTTTAATAAACGTGGATGAATTTGTTCATACCAACACTTGACAAGTCCAAAGTAAACACTGCATATCATAAATGTACTGTAAAGTCTTGTTACAGTAATCATGTATGTTTCATCCTACTCTCAGTTGTATTCATAATGAAGAATGAAAAGAAGAACAAGGTATTATTACAGTTTGCACAGCATCAGTACATTGTTTTTTAAGCATCTGAACATCTTATTCCATCTATCCTCACTTGTTTACTTAACAGGTTACTGCCTTGTATTACAGATCATGAATTAATGCACAAATATAAATAAATAAATATATGCTGTACTATGACTTTTGAATTATTGTGATCTTGGATCCCATCCTAGTTTATTTTAGAAATAAGAGATTGATTACGTAGTCTGACCATTGCAAAGCTGCATGACTAACATTAACTATGTGTAAAGGTGAGTGTTTAGAAATTGGGAAATTAGTATAATGTATAATGTGGGCACAAGCACTAATACATTTGTTGACTAAATCTGTAGGGGGAAACTGTACTAAGTGTATTATACAGTATGTGAGTGTAATATGCCAATTAAGCCATAGGTTACCAAATTAAAACAAGGGTTTATATGCAGTTTGGAGACTGCAGACCATTTGATAGACTGCACTTAACAATTTATGCATTGCAAGTATATTTGCATACATTTTTGCATGGGAGAATATTTTCCCACAGGTCTCAGGTGATCGCAACAAAGATAACCATATAAATATGTAATCTATGCAGAACAAGCAAAATAAAATACTGAGATGACTTGTTTAACAGAAAGCATATTAGTGTTGAAATCATTATTCTTTGGAAAATATTAGCAATAGATCATTCCTCCTTGTTTCTATTTCTGTATTGTTGGTATTCTTTCTAAATCAAGAAAATTGATTGTTCTTAATTGAGAAGACCATGGATTGCATATTGCGATTTATATTTCCAGCACCCGAAGAAGAAAAATCTCACACTACATTGCAGTTTTATTAGATTTACTGTAAAGAAATTCATTTTATTTTGACCCAGTAGGCCATATTTAAACCAGTAACAGGTTATCTACTGTCCTGATATAAATGGAGTATCTGTAATGGTTTTAAATAGACTCCTGCAGTTCTGCACAGTGAGAATTAAACACTGGGCAGGTTTGACTATCTAATTCATTTCACATCCTCCAACCTTCACCAGGGTACAAAGGCCTATCTATCATTTATTTGAATCAGCACCCTTAGAGAGTCCAGAGTGCAGCCCAAGGGCACTTGAATGAAGTTTAAAAGAGCAGCGAGTCATTTGCACCTCAGCAAGAGGGAATGCGCTGACATGCTCTGCTTTCTGCATGCTAAAATCCAGAACTGTGGAGTGGACCTCACAGGGATGGAAGAGGTATATAGCAAAATGCTTAAAATTTGAAGTTTGCGCGTTCCAGACAGGCTGTCAGTCTATGCATTAGTATTGAGGATTATTTTCAGTAAATCTTTCTGAAAGTTACACTCATAGGTGACGATAAGTGACTTATGAGTGATTCATTGAATCCTTCATTCAACCGATTCATTCAAAAACATTGGCTGCATCTGAAATTGCATACTGTTAGGATAGTTACTTCTTTTGAATAATTAATTACTTTGCGACCATTAAAAAAGTATGTTCTGTATACAGCGGTAGTATGGATGTGTGTTGTATGAATTTAATCTGGACGCACTACATCCGTCATGTTGTCATTGTCATGTGACTTTAAGGTGTCATTGCCTATGGTCAGTTGTGTCACTAATCCTCTCTCATGGCCTCATGGGATACCAAACTGTCCATCAGATGCACACTTTAGAATCTTGTTGGAAGTAATTAGTCATTTGAGAACTTTTCACCCACTGTTTTATGAATTCAGACATAACCTACTACTCTTTTCACATAGGGCTACTTTTTTTTCCAGCTATATATAAGGTGTATTTCAGACGCAGCCATTGAGTTATTCAGAACCTAAACAACCTTTTGTGAGCAGAATCATTCACTCAGTCGATTCATTCAAAAACACGGTTTCAATCCACCATGACACGTAACTTTTTGATACTGCTTTGACGTCCTTTGGAACTATTTTCGTTGGCGGAGCAAAAATAGATGTCATTTAAATATATCCAATCCGGGCCTGAGTGCACTGTACATGCAAGGGAGACTGGGGCTGGTTGCCACACGAAGAACGAAGGGTTATATTTCAGTAACTAAAAGTATTATTAAACAAATATGAATTTTCTCTAAGTTGGTTGCAAACAACCTACTGTAATTATTAATCAGAAACAAAATAGAACATTGTGATGGTAAAAAAGCATGAGATGAGAGGAAAAATTATATTTCAATGCTTTTGCAAGATCTCGCAATACCTTTGCATTCTCTCGGAAAAGTTTCACACTCTTCATGCGAAAGCAAAACTGATTATGGAAATATTATGAGATGGGAAGAAAAAATAGTTTATTGATTTTTCCGAGCGAATGCAAAGTTTGCAAAAGTTTTGCGAGTGAACGCAAAATCATTCAAATATTATTTTATCCTTCCATCTCATATTTTAATCATGATCCAAAGAATCTTCTTTATTAAATTTCAATAGCCCTATGTGCTGCAACTCATCAATGTCCATTCTGTTTGTTTGTGTGGGTGTTGCACATTCTAAATTGTTATTCTGGTAAAGCAATTTTAACATAGACTAATTGTGACTGTAATAAATATAAAACATAATCTAAATTACTCTTTATAAAGCAAGACCTTTGTTCAGCCAGCCAGTCATTTGCAAAATTATCTTTATTATTAGTGCATTTCTCAGAAATGTTGAAAAATCGAAAGTTGGCACACCACTATTTAGTGACCCAAGTGGACTTTTTATGGGACTTTGTTAATGTGCAGCAAAATACAGGCAGTCACGTCTTATAGACACACCGGTTTGGCACTTCTCTTAAAACACAAAACCAGGAAACTAGTGTGGTACGTGTTGTCGAACTGTCTTTCTCCATCTGAAATGGCAGAAGCTAATATTTCTGTGAGCCGGGAACAGTTCAGCTGTCCAGTCTGTCTAGATCTATTGAACGATCCAGTGACCATCCCCTGTGGACACAGTTATTGTATGAACTGTATTAGACGCTATTGGGATGAAAATGCTCAATTGAGAGTTTACAACTGTCCTCAGTGCAGACAAGCCTTCACTCCGAGACCAGTTTTAGCGAAGAATGTGGTGGTTGCTGAAATGGTGGAGAAACTGAGGAGGACAGGACCCCAGGCTGCTCATGTTCCTCACTGTGACGCTAGACCTGGAGATGTGGAGTGTGATGTTTGTACTGGCAGAAAATACAAAGCCATCAAATCCTGTTTGGTGTGTCTGAACTCTTTTTGTCCCATTCACTTTCAACAACATGAGGATCTCTTCGAAGGTGAGAGACACTGTTTGATGGATGCTACTGAACAACTCCAGGAGATGATCTGTCCAATACACAATGAGCTTTTGGAGATTTTTTGTCATACTGACCAGACGAGTATTTGTATGCTGTGTACAATGGATATCCACAAAAACCACGACGTGTCACCAGGAGCAGAGAGAATTAATCAGGTATGAATTAGACCAGAAACATATTCAATAATGCTGAAAGCTTGGCCAGCGCAATTTTTGGCTCCCCAAAGAACCCTTCAGTGAACAGTCCTTAAAAGAACCATTTTTTTCTGAGTGTGAAAGACATTTTAAGGCTTTATATAAATCTTTTTACACTATAAAAGACACCTTTTGTGATGTTAAAGGTTTCTTGTGAAATTATAGATGCCAATAAAGAACATTTATTTTAAAGAGTGTAGTTCCTAATAACCGAATGCAAACCCTCTGGCCAAGCAAGTATATTTATGGATTGCAGACAGTAGGCTATTACAAATTTTTGAGTAACAATAAGGTCGTTTTTGTTAACATTAGTAGTTAATGAATTTACTATAACACAAACTAACACGTCGCTGTTTGGATTTAAATGGGCAAAAGATTTATAAGTTCTTAATACTTAATAATTGTTCATTTACATGTTAACTCAGTGTATGAGTTGTAAAGTGTTACCATGTTTACCTTGTTAATTCATTTAAAAATGCATATTAATACACAATTTACACAGGTAAGGTACAATTAATGTGCTTTTTTCCCTACAAGGATAAACTGTTTCTGCTTTAGTTTTGTTGTCAATTTAAACAAACTATCAAACATTCATTTTTAGGTAAATTCTGTACATCATAAGTTCAGTGACTGAAATACCGCACAACACTGTCAATGTGCTATTAGGCGGCTAAAGACATATTGTCATATGTTGAGTAAACAATCACAGTAAAACTTAATTATTGTTTAGGTAAGCGTGGATGTGATGAGGATGTTCATTATTATTTTATTTTTTTCATAGAGTTCTTCGTCTCTCTCTGTTTCTCATGAACCTACTGACCTTTTCAGCTTTGATGTCAGTTCTCATCCTTCTAATTATCTGAGAAAATCTTTCTCTCAAAAACTAAAGAAAAAAATGGACGATTTCCTAAATTCAGAGGTAGTGGTTGTGTCTGGTTTGGGTAAGTAGCATTAATCCAGGAATGAATCATTTAAATAAAAACGGTGTGAATATCAAAACAAAGGTGTGACCTTAAATGCACAAATATATGTTTATTTATTTTTCTTAGTAATTCACTACAAAAACCCCACGGATGCACCCAGGAACAGAAATGAGATCCTACAATGTATGTCACACACACAACATGACTTTTCATTGATTTCTAGTGTTTTTATAGTGATCTTAAACTGTGTTTTATTTCCATCAGATTCACAAGAGCTCTCAATGGATTCAAACACAATGAATGAAATACTCGTACTGTCTGGGGGAAACAGAGTGGCTACTAACACTGGCAAAGTCCAGCGATATCCCAATCATCCAGAGAGATTTGATTGTTGGCCTCAGGTGTTGTGTAGAGAGAGTGTGTGTGGACGTGCCTACTGGGAATTTGAGTGGAGTGGGAGTGCTGGCATGGGTATTTCGTTGTCGTATAGGAGCATCTGCAGGAAGGGAAGGGGTGATGAGTGTAAATTTGGAAGCAATGATCAGTCTACGAATTTATACTGCTCTCCTTCCAAATACATATTCTGGGACAGTAACAAAAAGACTAAACTGTATATAAAGACTTCTAAAGTAAAGTCTTCTAGATTAGGAGTGTATGTGGATTACAGTGCTGGAATTGTGAACTACTTCAGCATCTCTGACACAATGAAACTCATCTACATAGTCCAGGGCAAATTCACGCAGCCGATCTATCCTGGGTTTACGGTTTATTTTGGATCTGCAGTGAAACTGTGTGATCCATCAATGAACTGTAGATGATTTAGAGATGTGAGATTCAATGAGATGTCATTTCTTATTTTTGTCAATAAATGCATACTCACTTCAGTTCCATTAAAAAAAGCAACACAGCAAGGTTATATGCATAACGCCGCTGTGACATATCCCAATCTTTAAGAACAAGGTGTTGGCTGAATTTTTTTGAATGATATCGATCTACAATCTGACTTGTGCTGCAGACTGGAGTCATAAATAACACCATGCTCCTTCATTTGCCCAGAGGAGAAATATCCCCCTGACTCAGCCTGGTCTCTCTCAAAAAAAAAAGAACTCCATTTCTGTCACCTGAAGGAGTTTGGGTTCTACAATCTACTTAGGCTTACGATGCTTTTGGGAAACGCAGCCCTGGACGATGACACCAGCGTTTTCTGCAGAGCTGCTTTATAGCAGATTGGACTGTTTTATAATTGACGAATTTTGCAACATCAACACTTTACTGAATGAAATCAACATTGAACTGACTCGAGCTGAATAACCACACTAATTATCTTCTGTATGCTTAAAGCTGAATTGAACATAATTGATGAACTTTACAGTTGAACTGACTTGAGCTGTATAATTTGAATTCTCATAGGCCTATATGATGTTTGCATCATTTATTGTTATTTTAGAGTTTATTACTGTGAAGCTGCTTTGAAACAATCTGTATTGTATAAAGCACGACATTAAGGCCACGTGTATGATTGGCAGCTACTAGTATTTTCCAAATCAGTAATAATGTTCCATTTCAGTTATAATGCTGTTCAGCCTATCTGAACAGGACTGGACTGGGGCAAAATTTGATCAAGTTTAATATATCTCAAAAAAGGAATAATCTACATTACATTAAAGAGTAAAACAAGTTCTGGTCATACCATTGTTCCTTTTGTTTGTTTGTGCGTCTTTCTCATTTGGAAAGTATCTGACCTAGATGTAGCCTATAGAAAATACTGTGGTACAAAATGACAAAATAGGTGTAAATAGTTAAAATAATACTATCAGTGTGCAAATAACCAAAGATACTCACCGCAAAATTCTTTTTTTTCGTTTTCAAAGTGACTAACTGTTAGCTGGTCCTTATGAGTCACTGAATCATGAACCGATTCTTTTAGAAAAGATGATTCAGTAACGAAATATTAGGCTATTGTAGGCTTGTTCGACTTGATCCGGTGTTGTGCCTAATTTCGAACCCCTGCCAAATTATTACCCACCTCGTTGAAGTCAGTACCTGATTGCCTAATCCCAACCCCGCCCCTAATCCTAACCCCTTCCCTAATCCTAACCCCTTCCCTCCCCGGCTCCCCCACCACAACTAATCCATACCGGTTCAAATCGAACAAGCCTTTCATGTGTTGCAACTTGCAACAGAATCCTGCACGATGTGGCGTCGTTTGGTCCAGAGCCTGTTTGGTCATTTCCCTTGGCCTGGTTCGAACATTCCAACCATAGACTCCAACCAGTCTATGACTCCAACACACAAAATGAATCGTGCACGTGATTGGACAGAAAGTGAGGCTTCTTTTGTCATTGGTCACATAATTTCCACGTTAACAACACAAGCCTAGCCACGCCCATTTATGGTCGACACGAGCTCCAACGCCTCGGTTCAAATGTCACATCACTAGCAACAAGCAATATACATTTCTAAAAATGTAAGTTACGCAACATTAAACTTCTTGTTTGTTAAACTATCGTGTAAAAGCCTGTGGGTGTGTGGCGGTCGAATCACAGCCGTCTTGCTCGTGTGATACATTTAGCTTGTGAAAGCGGTATATTTTAATTCAAGTAACAAATTTGATACAATAATTGAAATGGCCTAATTAAGTGACGATCCTTATGTTTGTCATTATAGAAATCTGTTCTTGGCTATTGTTCCTGCTACGTTGCTCAGCCTATCCTCATCATTAGGCAAGGCAAGGCAAGTTTATTTATATAGCACATTTCATAAGTCAAAGTGCTTTACAGAAAGGAATGAAAATAATCACAAAATAAAAGCAAGGAAAATTTAAACAGTTATAAAAGAAATTAAAAGAGGTACATGGTAAAAAGATGATACATGCACGATGTGCCTGTATCTTTCTCTATTGCTGTTCGATTACATGATAGAAAGTCTAAGGCCTTCAAAAGCCGTACAGCAAACCCATCTAATCTGGTGCCTATTACACGCCAAACTAAGACAAAAGTAACGAAAAGTAAGACTGTTAAGTTAGCACTATTAAACATCCGCTCACTTAAAAATAAATCACTTCTAGTCAATGACTTAATAACCACATACAACCTGGATTTTATGCTTCTAAATGAAACTTGGCTAGAAGACAGCTGCAGTTCAACAGTCCTCAATGAAACAGCCCCTCCTAACTTTACTTTTATGAGTGTCTGCAGAGCGGGTAAGAGAGGTGGAGGAGTAGCTGCTCTTTTTAAAGATGTCTATCAATGTAAGCAAACATCATTTGGTAACTACCCCTCTTTTGAATATCTGGGTATTGTGTTAAAAGGTGCCCCACGCATTTTACTTATCATTATTTACAGGCCTCCAAATACTCTCCAGCCTTTGCTGAGGACTTTACAGAACTGTTATCAACAATTTCCTCAGAGTTTGACTGTTTTGCTATTACTGGAGATTTTAACATTCACATAGATAATGATACAAATATGGCAAAAGAAATCAAAACTGTTTTAAAAACTTTTGATCTGATTCAGCATGTACACGGACCCACACACAATCGTGGACACACTCTAGATTTACTTATCAGTAAGGGTTTAAACATCTCTTTGATTGTTATTAAGGATGTAGCACTGTCTGATCATTTCTGCATTTTCTTTGATATATTGATCTCTCCTGCCATTGAAACTAGATCTGTGTCTGTCAAGAAGAGATGCTTAAAGGAGAACACTAGTGTGCTATTTATGAAGGCCATATCTTTAAAACCAAGCATATCTGCTGACTCTGTTGATTTTCTCCTTGATTCTTTTAACTCAAAGGTTAAAGGTGTAATATATTATATTGCTCCTGTGAAAGTCAGGAAGAGTGGTAGACAAAAAGCACCTTGGAGAAACTCAACAGCTGTGCAAAATATGAAAAGAACATGCAGAAAAACAGAGCGCATGTGGCGGAAGACAAAACTTGTAGTCCATTATAACATCTACAAAGACAGCATCCATGCTTTTAATATTGAACTAGGCAAAGCTAGACAGACTTTCTTCTCAAATATTATAAACAGCAACTTAAACAACACACGCACTCTTTTTGCTACTGTAGAGAGAATGACAAACCCCCCAAGCCAGATTCCCAGTGACATGCTCTCAGATGGCAAGTGCAGTGAGTTTGCTTCTTTCTTCTCTGAGAAAATCAATAATATCAGAAAGGTGATCAGCACATCATTGAGCCGCACTGGGGTCAGACAGATCAGACCACAACCTGAGAAAGTAGTTACTATGTCTGTTTTCGAAAAATTGATGGCAAAATTTTGGAAGAAACCGTACAGCACCTTAAAACATCAACCTGCACCCTTGACGCACTTCCCACATCTTTCTTCAAAAGTGTGTTAAACAGTTTAGAAGCAGATCTCCTAAAAGTGGTTAATGCCTCACTTCTTTCTGGTAGTTTTCCAAACTCCCTGAAAACTGCAGTTGTCAAGCCCCTCCTGAAAAAGAGCAATCTGGATAAGACTATATTAAGCAACTAGACCGATCTCAAATCTTCCTTTTATAGGCAAGATCATTGAAAAAGTTGTCTTCAATCAGCTGAACAAATTCTTAATCTCGAATGGATACTTTGACAATTTTCAATCTGGTTTCCGATCGCATCACAGCACAGAGACAGCTCTCATAAAGACAACAAACGATATTCGCTTAAATACTGATAGAGGGAAATTATCAGTGCTGGTACTACTCGACCTCAGTGCTGCATTTGACACTGTCGATCACGACATACTACTTGACAGGCTGGAAAACTGGGTGGGGCTTTCTGGGATAGTCCTAAAATGGTTCAGGTCATACTTAGAAGGGAGAGGTTATTATGTGAGTATAGGAGACCATAAGTCTGAGTGGACGTCCATGACATGCGGAGTCCCTCAAGGCTCAATTCTTGCACCACTCCTGTTCAACCCATATATGCTCCCAATGAGCCAAATAATGAGAAAGAACCGAATCTCTTACCACAGCTATGCAGACGACACACAGCTCTACTTAGCCCTATCGCCTAACGATTACAGCCCCATTGACTCTCTGTGCCAATGCATTGATGAAGTAAACAGTTGGATGTGCCAAAACTTTCTTCAGTTAAACAAAGACAAAACTGAAGTCATTGCGTTTGGAAACAAAGATGAAGTTCTCAAGGTGAACGCATACCTTGACGCTAGGGGTCTAACAACTAAAAATCAAGTCAGGAATCTTGGTGTGTCTCTAGAGTCAGACCTTAGCTTCAGTAGTCATGTCAAAGCAATAACTAAATCAGCATACTATCATCTGAAAAATGTTGCAAGAATTAGATGCTTTGTTTCCAATCAAGACTTAGAGAAACTTGTGAATGCTTTCATCACCAGCAGGGTGGATTATTGTAATGGACTCCTCACTGGCCTTCCTAAAAAGACCATAAGACAGTTGCAGCTCATACAGAACGCTGCTGCCAGGATCCTGAGCAGAACCAGAAAATATGAACACATCACACCAGTCCTCAGGTCTCTACACTGGCTCCCAGTTACATTTAGGATTGACTTTAAAGTATTATTACTGGTATATAAATCTTTTAATGGGCTAGGACCTCAATATATTGCAGATATGCTCACTGAATATAAACAGATCACTCAGATCATTAGGATCACATCAGCTAATACCAAGGGTTCACTCTAAGCAAGGAGAGTCTGCTTTTAGCTATTATGCCAGCCGCAGCTGGAACCAGCTTCCAGAAGAGATCAGATGTGCTCCTACAGTAGTCACATTCAAATCCAGACTCAAAACACTTCTGTTTAGCTATGCATTTACGGAATGAGCACTGTGCCACTGTTCGTCCGACTGTTTTTACTGTACTTTATTTTTTATTCTAAATTGTTTTAATTATTCTTATTTGTTTTGATTATTTTAATTTCTTCTATGTAAAGCACTTTGAATTACCATTGTGTATGAAATGTGCTATATAAATAAACTTGCCTTGCCTTGCCTACATAGATAAACTTCTCATCTGGCAAAACACTGTGTACATCATATTTTTCACAACTCCCAGTTTTACTCTGAGATTTTCCCATGGTGATTATTACACTGTGTCTGCGGTGTTCATTACAGGACGCTGATCTGTAGCAAAAGGCATTTATAATTGTAATTCGTGTACTGCTATGACTCCACCACTAGAGGTAGATGCATACACAGGGTTAAAACATAAGACATAAATTAATGACCATAGCTCTTAAACCTGTGTATTCTGATACTTGTTCAAACCCCTCCCCACTATTATTCCCATACTCGGTTCACTTCTCCCCCCACTCACCTTTCCATGCCAGAAAGCATGAGATAAATGCAGATGAGATTCTTGGGAGCTTTTAAAAAGTTCCCATCTGGCTTTAACTTGTCCAAAGGACCGCCTGAGGCCTGAACCAAGAGCTCCAGCTTAAAACCGACAGATTCCAGATGGACAGTAGCCCGATGATGAAGAAACTGGCAGGAGATTGAACAGTTACAGTATGATTAGACATTATCCTTTCATCTGATTCCCTCAGTAGCATTCTGCAGATAATGAACATCCCAACCCAGGACAAACCTGCAGAGCACCTGAGTAAGCGATGGTGTAAATGAATGATACAGCTTTTTCTGTCACTTATAAGATTAATATTAAGCTGTAGTGATAAAAAAGGTGTAATGCTTGCAGAATATGTGTTTTTAAAAGGAACAAAGCATCTCTAAAACATTTGGCATATAATGTAGATGTTTTATATGTAATGCACCTAAACATTTCCAGATGGTCATACCATTGTAAGACCTTCTGACTCTCTTCTTTCTGTCTTTGTAAATATGGAAGGTCCTTCTTAGGCGTGCAGGGTCCTCATGGAGGGGGTGGATCCATAGGAAGCAGGTTGATTCTCTCCGTATTAATCTCTGTCATTGTGTGTGTTTGAGACAGAAAGAGAAGGGGAGGGGTGATATAAAGGCTGGTTCCCTGTTGCTCGCTCCCATTCCTTCTGTTTTTTTTTTAGTGGGTTTGCTCTGCAAGTGATTCTCCAGAATAATGTTCTTGTTTACGGCCACCTTGACCATCCTGGCACTCAGTTCCCTGGACCAAGTGGATTCTTCAGCCTATGACAAGATAGTCACACACAGTCGCATCAGGGCTAAGAAGGAAGGGTAAGATTGTTTTAAAAGTTCACCTTTGCTGACTGGGAAAGAGGTGTTTAATTTTGTTAATGTTGTTCATTTCTTCAAACATAGAAATGACATATAAGTCCACTTTAAAAATGCTGGTACTCAAAAAATTCTATTTAAACCTTTAAAAAACTAAAACTATAACAACCAATGATGTCTGATACATATACGTAAAATTATTCTGTACTGTTTCTTATTACTAATTAAATATCATAATTTTTTAATTGTGCCACATTATATTCCTACCAAAAACCAATCTTTTTTTGTTAGCTTTTCTCTCAAATTATGCTGACAAAATATTTGTAATGGGACAAAAATTTATTGAATTATAAGGAAACACAAAATAAGCATTTTATCTAGGAGTCTCGGACCCCCACTGTATTTTTTTATTGTTATTTTTTGTTATACAGTATGAACCTAAAATCATTTAAATAATATCTTATGTATATGTAATTAAAACAAATATTGTGAGATCTGAAAGATTACTTTTTACGTTGATATATTTTTATAAATGTAAATATTTTTATGATATAATATTTCTGTCAAAACTTTATTTTTGCTAAACTTATTCACTTTGCAATTACAGAAATCTGTGTATCATCAACATGTCATTTAAAAATTGGGAATATTTTAATCTATTATCATTCATTAACCATAAATGTATTTCTAAAACATAAATAGACTAAAAAAGCAATTTTTGAATTGTTCAGTCAGCTCTTTAAAGCAATTTGTCAGGACTTCTATATAATCACCTGCCTAATTGAACACCCCTGTGGCATGTAAGCCTGTCATGTCTGCAGTTATCAACCATTCCAAGAGGGGTTTTTTTTAACACACATGCTCCCTCTGCTCTTTTTTTCTTTCCAGGCCCAATGTGTGCGCTTTACAGCAGGTCATGGGGACGAAGAAAAAGTACTTCAGCACCTGCAGGAACTGGTACAAGAAATCCATCTGTGGCAAGAAGGCGTAAGTCATCCATCGCTTTTCACTCTGACACACTCTGCTTTAGCCAGGTTTCTGCCCGTGATCTCGTCAGAGGTCGCTGTGAAACAGTGCCTGTGGTTCTCAGGGTAAAGGTGGGTCACAAAGGTGATGGATTACCGGTACATTGATTAGGCTTGTTCTGTGCTGTAGGGTGTGTTCAAGGATAGTGAATGAAACAGAAGCATTTAAAACTATTTTGTACAGTTCATACAGATCAGTTTTGTTGTTTGTTTGTTTTGAATTAGTAAGGATTCAAGACAGTTGGATTTTTGCCAAGACAAGCTGGTCCAAATACTTCCTAGGAGTGAGATGATTTATTATTCAAAAACATATTACACTCTGGAGCCTTTACCTCAGCTCTCACCAGGATGATAGAACAGTTGTGTCAGCCGAGTGCATCTAACTGTACTTGTTTATGGCAGATAAACCGCAGCTCATGTGCGCTGACTCTGACTTGACATATTTATTGTTGCTCCAGTGGTTTCTCTCTCCGTTTTCTCCTCAAATGCCAAACTAATTTACTGCATCTTCACTGAGAGGATGAGGTAAGCATGTTTCTGGGCTCTGTGAGACTGCGATGGAAGCCTTAGGGACTGGTGACGAGTAATTGGCTAAACTTTTCAGGCTCAACTCAGCCTTTCCACTGGCAGAGATCTGCAATATGTAAAAGAACTGAGAAAAACATTTGGCCTCAGGAAATGTCTTTGTTTGATTGTACTTTTTTTTTCTCTCTGTCATTTCTGTTTTTTTTTTATGTGTTGTTTTTTCTTATGTGTCTGCATATATCATTGTTGACGGTCATTTGTGTTCATTGTTCATGTTTGATTATATATATATAGAGAGAGAGAGAGAGATAGATAGATAGATAGATAGATAGATAGATAGATAGATAGATAGATAGATAGATAGATAGATAGATAGATAGATAGATAGATAGATAGATAGATAGTATGTATATACAATCATAAATTGTATCTTTTTAATCAAATATGTGTGTGTGCGTGTGTGCGTGTGTGTGTGTGTGTTCAATCATGCAGCAGCATGTCCAGGAACCTAAATGACGAATTCTTCTTCATGCCTGTAGTCATCAGACATACATTGATTTTGGTACAGAGAAAGCAAATACAATGTTCTCAGCTTTATTTTTATGCTTTGAATTAAATAACCGTTGCCCCCAGTTCAACCTTCTCACAGAGAATTATAAAGAAAGAGTCTCCTACGTACGTTAATTAATGTCCTGTGAGATTCATGAAACAGCTCAATTGTCATCCTTTTTCTCACCTGCAGTGTTGTTTTACTCTTGGATTTACAGTATGGCTGCAGCCTCTCTGGTCACAGTAGAAAACATATGAAAGCAATTTTAAATGTGTCTACTGGGAGGTAAATAATAAAAGCACAAAATAATCACCCCTGGTTGGCGTCTCCCCCCAGTTCCCCCTGACTAAATCTGGGCAGCAGTAGGTCCGAAGCTGCCCAGCCTGCTGTCTCTCCTCTGGGCGCCTAGGGGAAAGTTTGAGTCAGGCCTCTCTCAGGGGTAACGATGGCTTCCTTTTTCCTTCCTTTATCGACACTGGGAACATTGTTCAGTGTCAGTGGATGAACTCCACCACAGCTGCAACCTCTGCGCCTCTGGACACTATCATGATGATAACAAAAGAAAAAAAAGCTATTTAATCTGTGCAGTGTCAGGTGTGTGTTTACCACCATATCTGACAAACAGCAGGGCTGCATGGCACGATAATTCTCAAAAACATATCTCTCGCTAAGAACTGCGAGTAATGTCATTAGTCATGGGAGAATTATATGCACGCCATCTGCAGACAGCTGTTGGAAAGCCTCTTTGCCTCTTTTTTTGAATACAAGGTTAGAACTTTTAGCTTTTAGGCAAGTGGCCAAGATTCAAATTATTGTTTACTCTTAAAGGGATAGTTTACCCCAAAATGATAATTCGGTCATCATTTACTCACCCTCAAGTTGTTTCAAACATGTATAAATTTCTTTCTTCTGCTGAACACAAAAGAAGATATTTTGAAGATATGGGTAACCAAACAGTTGATGGACCCCATTGACTTCCACTGTATGAAAAAATATATACAGTATATATATTTTATTTATTTTTCCATGAGGAAAAGGCTTTAAATGTACCAAATGTCTCTCCTCTTGAGTTTCAGAAGAGATCTCGTGCTCAGAATTGCCGAAATAAAAAGTTTTGTATTAAAAGATTTAAATTTGAAATCAGGAATTTGTAAAAGAGTTTTCATTATCTGGTCTATCACATACATCCCCGCTAACAGGGAACGTTCTCAGAATATTTTTAAATGTTACTACTTGTTTCAGAACATTCAGAGAACTTTCAAAAGTAATGTTTGAAAAATGATACAATTGAATGTTCCCTTAAAGTTTGCATAACCCCCCCCCCCCCCCCCAAAAAAGGATGTTTTTAACGTTCACAAATAATGTTTTTATAACTTAATGGGAACATTAGCAAAACATCACATACTTTTATATGTCTGCTACTGTCTAAATTTGCATCAAGTTTTAAATTCCCTTAGGAATTTAATGAAAAGTATCTAAAAGTTAACTGACACCTGAGCCCCCCCATAGAGATAAAATTTCTCCTGAGAAATCCCCTTTCAAGAAACCACTGGAAGACTTCACATTTTTCCCCACTGCATGCCAGATATACTATAGAGATACCAGTTGAAGTTACTTGTTAAAAATAAACATAAATCATTATTCTGTCAAAACAGCCCAGAGGCAAGTGACCTCACACGTTTCAGACAATATAGTTTCTCTGTCAGGACTGGCTCAGATTTGGGTCGTTGCCCTCTTATGTTGTCAAATATTTGAGGATTTGCAGATGAGGTAATACTGTGGAACCTACTGTCATAGAACATATATTCTGAGGAGAAGGTTTTTGTCTTAGAATAGAAAGGGTATTTTAGTGTCTTTTCATTGTTTTTTTCTAAGTCTTGATGTAATTATAGTGGATGATGTAAATGTTCATCTTATTTGTAACCATGAATATTAAAGGGGTGATGAACTGAGAAATCAAATTTTCCTTGAGCTTTCAACATCTAAGAGGTCATCATATTATAAGAATATCCTGTAAGTTTCAGAACTGAAAACATCCTTGTTAGTCCAATAAAAGCTTTTATTGACACCAGGCTCAGCAAACGACTCGTTTTTCAAAGTGGGGAACTATGACGACAAAGAGGATAAAACACCAACCCCGCAGAAGAAGATCAACGCCTACTTCAACACGGACGGTTTAGCCCCGCCCACCGATTCGCGCATTACACGAAACTCATTATAATATGCAAAACTGTTATCCACTCACAGCAGTGGGTGTTTACTTCCAAGTCTTCAATGCGAGACGCCCATAAAAACCGAGCGTTTTTGAGCTAGACTCAAAACTAGGGTAGAAAATAGCCTATTACTTATTCAGTTTGATGTTTTTGAATGTAAAAACCAAGCGGACGTCATAAGTTGACCTCAGACAACAATATAACACAATTTAAAAAGCCAGTTCATGACACCTTTAAGTCCAGCGGTTTGAGACACATTTTGATTTATAAAAACTGCAAAAATGTAGAGAAAAAGTCCATGCTAAATTCAAAACAAATCCAGATAAAACTCCAGATGGTTGAACAAACATGTTTTATATGAAAAAGACACATCTGTGTGGACATGCTAAAATAATTTATCATGTGAGTTTTCTGGACAGAATACGAAAAAAAAGTGAATTCTTCCATTTTATAACAAAGGAACAAATTGGGTAGAGAATAAAAAAATATTATATATGCTATACCAAAAACATATCATATGTTCCATCAATTTTTTTTCCTCTTTATTACATGCAGGATGATATTATATGAGTGCTGCCCAGGTTATATGAAGTTAGACGGGAAGCGTGGTTGCCCTGCAGGTCTGTATTCATTTATTCCATCAATAGAAATATTATATAGTGTTTAATTTTTTATTATGAGTTTGCTGGTCTGAGTGGTTGTTAGCAAGTTGCTATGATTGTTAAGCCCAAGAGGCATGATTTGAGGTGTCGATCATGTCTGTAGCGCTTAACATTCACATGTCAAAAGTTAATAAATATGGTTATTTTGGATTGCGGCAACAATTATAATACATTTAACTTCAGTTTAAGGTCATGCTTAGATTAAATGCAGGTTATTCATTGGATATGGGTTCAGTGGAGGAGAACATTAGTTTTTGTTCTCTAAACAAACCCCATACCCAGCTGGCTGTACTTATACATGAGGTTAATGAGCCACAGCTTGTCTTGAACGTGGACTCGAGGTTCACATCATCTGACTTTGGATTATATGCTGTATTGTGTCTCTATACTGAATCTATTTATTTGATAGAAACTGTGCATGCAACTCTTTGTGCTTGTTTCCTGTAAATTTCACTCCACACCCAGTGGCCCCTATCGACAGTGTTTATGGCACCCTGGATCTGGTGACAGCCAAGATCACCCAGCGATACGCTGACCAATCCAAACTGAGGGAAGAAATCGAGGGAGCAGGATCTTACACAATGTTTGCGCCGAGTGACGATGCCTGGAAAGAGTTAGACCCTGTGAGTCGCAATCCAGGCCATGTTCTGCTTCATTCAAGCCGCAGTATTTGCATGCTATGTTTAAATCAGTTTTCAAATGTATGCGTTATTAATAAGCACACTTGGAGCACTGAATGGAACTTATTAAAAATAAATAAATTGAGGAATAGGTCATCATGCTGTCGTTTTCTTCTAACTTTTTATTCCCAGAGCAAAGTTATTACATTTTAACGTAATTTCTGTATATTTGCAGGCATTGAAAGCTGCCATGGTCAGCAGTGGAAACCCTGAGCTTTACAATGCACTCCACTATCACATGGTCAACAAACGGCTTCTCACTAAGGACCTGAAGAATGATATGACCCTGAAGTCCATGTATAACAAACAAGGCCTCTATATCAATCACTACTCGAATGGAGTAAGTTTCTCTTTTCTTCAAATTTACTGTGTGTGTGGAACTGTGTACAGTATGCTTTTTTAGTATTATTTATATACTATTATTATTAATATTTTTAATTATTTTTCATTTTGATATTTTTAGTCATTTGATCATTTAGATCATTTAGTTTTAGTTTTAATTTTAATTTTAGTATAACTTTTAGTAACTTTGTTTTGTGCTTTTGTCAGTATTATACGTTTTTTTTATTTCTATTTAGCTTAGCTAATTTATTTCTGGTTTAGGTTTTATGTAGTTTTGTTTTTTTATTTTTTCTTGTAATATTTTATTTCCGCTTATTTCAGTTAACAAAAAATATTTTTCAATTGTTTTTGGTTTTTGTTAAAGGGATAGTTCACCCAAAAAATTAAATTCTGTCATCACTTACTCACCCTCAAGTTGTTCCAAACCTGTATGAATTTCTTTCTTCTGTTGAACACAAGATATTTTGAAGAATGTCGGTAACCAATCAGTTGATGGTAGCCATTGACTTCCATAGTATTTGTTTCCTACTATGGAAGTCATGGCTACCGTCAACTGTTTGGTTACCAACATTCTTTCAAATATCTTCTTTTGTGTTCAACAAAAGAAAGAAACTATTACGGGTTTTGGAACAACTTGAGGGTGAGTAAGTAATGACAATCTTTTCATTTTTGGGTGAATTTTCACTTTAACAATTGCCAAACTGTAATGAAATGCTCTTCGAAGATCCTGCCATCATATAGTCATCCTTATGTCATTTCAAACCTGTATTACGTTCTTTCTTCTGTGAAACAAAAGAAGATATTTTAAAGAAGGCTTCAACAATTTGTGTGCATACAATGCAAGTTTATGGGGTCCAAAACAACATTGATTGGACCCCACTGACTTTCACTAAGTAAAAAAAAAAAAAAAAAAAAAAAGATTATCTTTTTTTTGTGTTCCAAAGAAGAAATAAAGTTGTACAGGTTTGGAATGACATGAGGAAAAGTAAATTATGACAAAATTTTCATTTTTTGTTGAACTATCCCTTTCAGTTCAGTGTAAAGTCACAAAACTGATCTGTTTCAATGGTTTACAGGTTGTCACTGTGAACTGTGCCCGGATTATTCACGGCAACCAGGTGGCCACTAATGGAGTTGTGCATGTCATTGATCGGGTCATCAGCGCCATAAGCCAAACGATAAAGGATGTGATCGAAACCAATGATGAGCTGACTACACTGAAGGTATGTGTTATTATGACTGTGCTATTGTAAATTAATTTGACAAAAAATTCTTGGAAGCTTTCTGAACCTTTGATAGGAGCCATTACAGATTAAAAATTATTCTTCAGCAGGGGCATATGATTTCTGAGAGTCAAGTTTATACAAACATCTTGTCTGACTTCTTTTATAGACAGTTGCTGTGAATTCGGGTCTCCAGAACCAACTGGGAGAGCCCGGACACTACACACTTTTTGCTCCAACCAACGAGGCCTTTGATAAACTAGACCGCGACGTCCTGGAGAGACTTATGAGTGACACAACTGTACTTCAAGGTAAACATATCACTTACTGTATATTGTAGTAGACCAGAACCACAGAACATTATTTATTTATGTTTTCAAGTGTTTTCAGGGGGTTGCAGTCTTGATGCACTACAAAGCTAGAGGTAATACTGCTACTGTGCAGTAGCCCATGTTAAAGTCTTTATCACATAGTGCACTTCCTTTTAAAAGTTTGTGGTCAGTAAGATTTTCTTTTTGAAAGCATTTCATTATTTTATTCAGCAAGGATCCATTAAATTGATCAAAAGTCACAGTAAACACATTTACAAATAATAAATGCTGTTTTCTAACTTTCTATTCACCAAAGAATCCTAATATTTTTTATCTGTTATATTTTTTAACTGTTTTGATAATAATAAGAAATTATTCTTGAGCACCAAATCAGCATATTTGAATGATTTCTGACTGGAGTAATGATGCTGGAAATTCAACTTTGCCATCACAAGAAACAATTACATTTTAAAATACATTAAAATAGAAAACACTTATTTTAAATTGTAATAATTTTTCCACAGTTTTAGTGTTTTAACTGTATTTTGTGACACAGGAATAAATAGCATTTTAAAGCATTTTTACAATATGTATATTTGTATTTGATCAAATAAATGCAGCCTTGGTGAGCACAAAAGACTTTCAAAAACATTTAAAAATGTTCAAAAAATTAAAAAGTTAAAAAACACACAAAACATGCACAGGATGAAATAATCACCCTCAAAGATTTGAAAGACTAGCAGCCTCATGTTTTAAGTAAACTTCACAAATGCAGTCCAATTCAAGCAGTGCCACATTCTCAGACGGCGGGCAAACAGCAGATCTGACCGCAGGGATCCAAAATCAAGTTTGGTCAAGACGTCTAAAGGATGGGAAATGATTTTGGTGAAAAAGATTAGGAATTTTGTGGTCTGACCATTATACGTGTTGTAACAGACAAAAGTATATCTGTTTTCCCCATGACACAGTTTCACAAAGAAAAGGCCACAAATATTGGTTATGAAAAGGGTCTATTTACAGCTAATCTAATCTGTGTGACCTTTTAGATTAGATTATCATTATAGGAAAAGTGTTAAAAGAAAATAACATAGAGAGCTTTATTCAAAGCAAAGTCTAGCTTTGATGTTAACATGAATTTCTTCTGAGGCTAGTTTTCTCAAGAACCTGATCTTTTTACTGATTTACTGATGAATTACTGATGCAAAAACACAAATTATTAAAGCAGATCAGACATCAGGGTTCTGGCCAGTAGCATATAGGAAAAAATCCTAAAGCACTGGTTCTCAAACTACCTGCAGTTTCAAGTACTGAGCATATTTCAGGGTTAACACATTTAATGACCAGTAAATTTACATGATTTTTCCAGTTGTTCATGATTATGGGATTTATTATTATTATTATTATTTACTTACAAATAGCAATTTATATGCAATAAACATTTTAGAGCTTGAAATAACTAGAAAATAAATATTTATTAAAGAAATCCCGATAGCTTTTTAAGATTTTATTAATTTCCTTATTCCTTATACTTCCTAATTACCCGTTTTTCTCTTTGTGGCCACCCTTGAGTATTGATGTTGACACAACAGCAGATTGTTATCCAGTAGCCCATGTAACAATGTGTAGATTCAGAGAAGGCTATTTTGAATAGGGCCTAAGTGTCTTGTGAAGGCGGTTTTGATTTGGATTTTGGTTTGGCAGAGCACTTAAACTTGTCAAAATGCACATGCATGTAGTGCTTAAACAGATGCAGGAAATAAGCTCAGCTGCTGGGAAAGTGGAGTGAAGTAAGAGTCTCAACTCTCCACCAGATTGCCCCCGCAAAGGAAGAACTGGGCGGATGTCCCAGTGGTCAACATGAGCTTCTGTGTTTTTAATTGTCTTTGACCTTTGGAGGTCTATAGACCAAAGCTTTCTGGACTATGAAGATGAAGACATTTCAACAGTTTAGGTCACCACACTGTTTATCTTTCAATCCTTTCTTTTTCTCTCTCTTTCTGGTTATTTTTTCAAGCCCTTTTGCAGTACCACCTCCTGAACTCAGCGCAGTGCTCTGAGGCCATTATGGCAGGCTCCATCTACGGGACTCTTGAGGGCAGTAATATTGAGATCGGATGTGATGGTGAGAGCCTTACGGTCAATGGTATCAAGATGGTGCTGAAGAAGGACATTGTCACCAGCAATGGGGTCATTCATTTGATCGACCAGGTGCTCATGCCTGATTCGGGTGAGACTCTGTACATGCCCACTGTGTTCAACCTGACATTATTTGAACTTAAAGGGTTAACTCTCCCAAAAAATCACACCCACATGTCATACATTAACAGATATTAAAATATACAACTTTATTGATGCTAATATAATATCGAAATCTCAATTTGAAGTTTAGTGTGTATCTTTTATATGTCTCGCAGCCAAGCAGGTGATGGAGCTTGTGGGCAAATCTCAGAGCATCTTTGGTGACATGGTGTCCGAGCTCGGCCTCTCTGCAGCCTTACAGCCTGAGACTGAGTATACTCTTCTCGCCCCACTGAATGGAGCCTTCTCCGGTGAGTTGGCCTCATGACTCTATGAGCAAAATAAAGGATGTTTCTGCAGAGATAGGAGTCTGTTTTTCCTTTCTTTTTCTTAAAGAAAAGACCTGAATAAACTTTATTATTGTAAAATATGTAGAATGTGTCTATGGTCTACGCACGCACGCACACACACACACACAGACATATATATATATATATATGTCTGTGTGTGTGTGTGTGTGTGTGTGTGTGTATGTATTTATATATATATACATAAGCCTTTATATGATTTTTTTATATATATGATCTTGGGTTTAATATAGTTACACTTCTGAATTCCACTCAGTCCTGGTTAAAATGTCAAAATGACTTCAAATGTCTCCTCATCAACTGTCATGCAGATGAGGTAATGTCCATGGATCAGCGTCTCCTGAAGATTATTCTGGAAAACCACATCCTGAGATTCAAGGTCTCTCTGAATGAACTCTACAACGGCCAGATGCTCGAGACCCTTGGAGGAAAATGGCTCAGAGTCTTTATTTATCGCACGGTGAGAGACAAGGACTCATAATGTTTTTGTCTAAGAGAAAGTGAAAGATTGAGGACCTGCAAACAATCACTTTGTAAACAACCACTTTTTATTTGCTTTATTGCTCTGGTCTTTGGCAGTTAAGTTTTATACACTTGTATATTTGCTTCAGGTAAGTTTTTAGACCTGAAATTCCTCCTTGTTTGACTATATTGTTTCTCAATGCTCTGTAAAATGTCCAAAGCCCAACTATCATTTCATTCTCCTCCTCGTGTGTGTTTTTTAGGCTGTGTGTATTGAGAATGCATGTATGGTCAGAGGCAGCAGAGAAGGCAGTAATGGAGTCCTTCATCTCATGAGGTCCCTGATCCAGCCACCCCAGGCGACCATCTATGAGCTGCTTTTGAACGATGGACGATTCAAGTGAGATTATCATCGTGATGTGAAATGATTACTATTTTATTCATCTATACACATTTTTTATTGTACAGAATTATATTATTATATACTGATCTGTTCCAGAATCTTCCTGTCTCTGATGGAGAGTGCTGGACTGACAGACCTGCTGAAGCAGGAGGGATCGTACACACTCTTTGCTCCTATCGATGCCTCCTTTGGCACTCTGACAGAGGAAGACATCACTCTTTTAAAAAGTAAAAAAATTTTCCCTCTAACATGTCCAACATCAGCTTGGTCTGCTACCTCACAGGTGACCAGTGACTATTCTCTTATCCAGGTGACATGAACGCGCTCAGGGCAATCCTGCTCTACCATTTTAGCAATGGCGTCTTTATTAATGGAGGACTGGAGGGTGGAGTGACTAATCTTCTCAAGACCATACAGGGCAACAACCTTCAAGTGCAGTCTGTAAGTACATTGATAGGATCTCTATCAGTCGTGTTTTTTAGCGACTAACAAGCCAAATCTATCTGATTAAACACCGTAATCAGTGAAAACACAGAGATTTCCTCAAATGTAAGGTTTTTCCCAACAGTAATCATGAGAAAAAAAATTCTATAATTACCTTTCCCAGTTACATGATTAATGTTTAAACTTTGCACACCCAATAATAAAACTGTTAGACTCGGAAAGAGTGACTTTTAAATTTGAGCCAATACTAATGTTTTTGTAGCACAAGAGAGGAAGGACCTGACATGCGATTATCGTCAGACAATGCAATTAGACGCAGGACACATTTCCTGTGTCTGTTCTCAGAAATTCCATGATCCAAATCCAGAACATTCACGTAAATCCTTTACAGGAAACCATACCAGCATGTTAATATTGAGTATAAAACTGACTTGATTATAAAAATAAAAACATACATCATCTCATCCTAATTAGGACTATGAACTTTTTTATTTGTATGTTTGTGTATAGCCGAGGGTCTATGGCATTGGGCCTTTTGTGTGTGAATTTAGAGCATTGCTAAGTGATAAGGTCATAACTTCATAAGGTCATGGTTTGTTGCCATCAATCAAAATCAACATAGCTCAAATCTCAGCTTCCAACGCCTCCATCGTAACTCCCTCTAAAAGCTGGAACAATAGGTCTCCTAATGTCCAGACACTTCCTTTGCTGAAAACAGATATCAGCACTGTAAATGTAAATTTACTTTAGTCAAGAGATATCTCACAAAAAGAGCAAAAGCTAGGAAGTGTCTTCTTAATATAATGTCCAGCTGTTGTATTTTTCTAAATGTACTGAAGTGTTTCAAAGGGTTTTGTAAGATTATCCCACTTAGGCTCACATTATTATTATTATTATTATTATTTTATGTATGATATATATGTATGTGTGTGTGTGTGTATATATAATATTTTTATGAAATATTAATTGTATATATATTTTTCCTCTCGTCTAATCAATGCTAATTTAAAAAAAGTAATTTAATGATTAACACCACCTTATACTCAGGTTAACAACTCCATCCATGTAAATTCAGTGGAGGTTCCAGATTTTGATCTTATGGCATCCAATGGAGTGGTCCATGTAGTGAAGACTATGTTATATCCACAAGGTAAAGTATTAAAAGCAATGAATGTGCGTTTATATGCAAATATCTTTAAGATGTGATATTTTTTGGTGGGACTTTTACATGCATTAAGTCAAAATCAATTGCATAGATCGACTACATCTTCAATGAACCTGTTTTCTCAACTCTTATATAACTGTACAGTTCCTGAAACATAAGACACAGCCCCTAGAGCTTAATAAATGATTTTACCGCATTTCACAGATCTGCCAGTTGGCAGTGAAGACATATTGATTCTGCTGAAGAGACTCATCAAATACATGCAGCTGAAGGTACAGCAGAACACACATCATATCTGAACACTGACTCACAATCACAGATCCTGTACAGCCGTACAATCACACATCCTGTTTTATCTGTTGCTTTTATTTTATTTATTTATTTTTGGTTTGGTTTGTGTTTAGTTTGAATCTGGATTCACCTACCGTGAGATTCCACTTACATTCATCAGTAAGTTCAGTTTCATCCCTCTCAGTTTAATTTCTCTTTAAATTCCACATAACAACATCATCAAGGACATATGGGTTATTTTGACATGCTTTTTATTAATGAATATTGTGCTTCTCGTTGCAGGGAGGACTATAACTACACATGTCATTGAGAAAGGTGAAACATAATTTCATCTTGTTTTATTTTATTTGACTAAATGGCAACTCTTTTTCCCATCCACTCACACCCTTTCTACATCCATAAGCATTCGTTTATTTTACACGTGATACTGAGCTCCTCAGGCAAGCCCATCTCTGCCAGCCGATTATTCCCAGAAGCTCTTTTAGATATTTGTACAATTATGTATATACTCAATCATTATTCTATACAACAACAAGCCTGAACTTCGCCTCAACTGCAACTCCAAGTAAACCGATTGATCATAGAGCCCCAGAGGAGAGTGAACACATGTTGTTTTGTTGGCTTGAACCAGCACTGGCATCTCCTCTGGCAGTCGCTGGACAGATACAGCAGATAAAGAGCCATTCGAGACAGAGAGAGAGGGTATTTCGCCTCAGACCATGGCAGGAGACCTACCTGTTGAGTAGGAGTGAATGTCGAAGCTCAGAACATTTTAAATGGAATTTATGTGAATTGAAGCTATTGGAAACTTGGCTTAAAATGTGTATTTGTGAAGGTAAAAACGTATTAAAGCTTAGGTACTGGCAGTGGTTGCGAGGGTTACGACCTAGCAGAGCTACCTTTCTTCTTAAAAAAAACAAATAATAGTCCCACAATTTTGTAAAGCTAATGTGTGTCAAAACAGCCCAACATTGGCTTAAACAATATATACACACTAAGAGCATCTAAAATTCTAAAGCCTTTTATGTATGTTACTTTACAATCACAAGTCTTGATGAATCCTCTGAGGGCTGGTCAGATCTAGAATCTCCTTTGCGAGGGTACCGCGGTAAGAGACCCAATCCCATAGCGGGACTCTTACTTATTAGTAAATGATGGACAAACTTTTTCCATGAAAGATCTTTTAATGACAAAGTAAGTTATAAATGAAATACAGATGGGACTGATGAAAGTAAAGTCATTTGGAGTCTTTGTACGGCTTAATTTAATAAGTCGATGTAACAGTGAAACATTCGCATGTGTCATTCATTTATCGAATTGTGCATCTGTCATGGTTCCAATCAGTCTTTAAAACGCCACAGAGTACAATGAAACCTTTATAATGACAAAGTAAATGGTTTAATCGATGGATTAAATTGATTAAATGTTGAGTGTGACCTGTACAGTAAGATTTTATTAAGCAAGGGCACAATGAATTGATCATGATAATTATAATAATAATGTTACAAAAGATTTCAATTTAAAGTGTATCATTTTTCCCCCACAAAAATATTAACATTGATTACAATAATAAGACATGTTTCTTGAGCACTAAATCAGTATATCAGAATGATTTCTGAAGGATTATGTGACACTGAAGACTGTAATTATGCTGAAAATTCAGCTTTGCATCACAGAAATACACTACACAATAATTCACAACAAAATATACAAAAAAAAAAGAAAATCCATTTAGACACTTCTTGACTACTCACCAGTCAAGACTTCTTGATTACTGAAACATGAAACCGATCCTAAACGGGTGTGTGTGTGTGTAATGTAGTATTTACATTTTTTACAGTTTCTTATTTACAGTCAGTTTGAGTTCCACCATTAATCACAAAGTGTAATTTATGCTGAGCCTGCAATCAAAAAAATGTAGGATCCTGATCCACAGCCACATGTGCTCAATGTCTTATCTCATCTTTGGCAGAATATCCTGATTTTTGTTTAATGAATCCAGCAGTAGCACGAAACGTGACCCCTGTTACAGTGTCTTGAGAGAAAGGCCGGCCTGGTGTTCATTACAGCTCTGAAAGCTCCATTGACTCTTAATGACTGGCTTTGACTCCCATTCTCATCTTTGTTCATTTACTTGTGATTTATTTCACTTTGGCAAAATGTACGAATGGATTTCAGAACAAGTTTGCTGCAATTGGAAGCAAACCTGACTGTAGCAAGGTTAGTAATTCAGTGTCACGACAGCTAGTGGAGAATTGGGTGGATCCAAATGCAGCAATGGTATAGTCAGGGCAATCCAAATCATCGTGATCCATGCAAGCGTTATAATCCAGATAATCAGAATCGTAGTCATTCATGCCAGTTGGAACTAACAAAACCAGGGTATTTATGCACAGACACTAACAACATAAATGGGAACAGCTGGGTGCAATCACAAGTGATGGGAACAAACAAGGATTATGGGAAATGTGGTTCTAGAGTGAATGGATACAGGAAGGAAGGGACCTCTAGTGGACACCCAGTGAAAACACAACCAGACACTGTGACATAACCCCCCCTCTACGGAGCGGCTACCAGACGCTCCACGACAGAAATACTCGAAAAAAAAAAAAGTCCAGGAGGGAGGTGGAGCTGTGGGGACTCAGGGGGAGGGACGGAGGGCCAGACCAGGGTGGGACGGGAGGGCCAGACCAGGGCGGGACGGGAGGGACAGACCAGGGCGGGACGGGAGGGACAGACCAGGGTGAAGCAGACAGTCCATCGGGCGGCCAAGGCAAAGCAGACAGTCCATCGGGCGGCCAAGGCAAAGCAGACAGTCCATCGGGCGGCAAAGGCAAAGCAGACAGTCCATCGGGTGGCCAGGGCGGTGAAAACCCCTCGGGCGGCCAGGGCGGAGCAGACAGTCCATCGGGTGGCCAGGGCGGATCCGACTGTGCAGGCGGCCGAAACGGGGCCGAAACGGGGCCGAAACGGGGCAGGTCCTTCGGGCGGCCACGGCAGTGAAGACGCCTCAGGCGGCCACGGCGGAGACGACCAGGGCAACCACGGCACAGCAACAGACACCGGCTCAGGAACAGCAACAGACACCGGCTCAGACACCGGCTCAGGAACAGCAACAGACACCGGCTCAGGAACAGCAACAGACACCGGCTCCGGCTCAGGAATAGACACCGGCTCCGGCTCCGGAACAGACGCGGCTCCGGCTCAGGAACAGACACCGGCTCAGGAACAGACACCGGCTCCGGCTCAGGAACAGACACCGGCTCCGGCTCAGGAACAGCCACAAGAACTGTAACAGTCACAAGAACAGACACAAACACAGAAACGAACACTGGCTCTGGAACGGACATTGGCTCCAGCTCTGGAACAGGCACTGGCTCTGCCTCCGGCTCTGGAACAGGCCTTGGCTCTGCCTCCGGCTCTGGACACAGTCTCATCCCAAGAAGTCATATAACTGACGTCTTGGGACGTCTTTTGACCATACGTCAATATCCGCCTTTTTAGGGTACCCTTAAACGTCGGTTTATGACGATCCTGGGACGTCATACAACTGACGCTTTACCTTTAACGTCAGTTAGGTGACGGGGTAGGTTTAGGGGTAGGTTTAGGTCTGGGGTAGAGTTAGGATCCGATAACGTCATCTAGCCGACGTTTAAGGGTACCCTAAAAAGGCGGATATTGACGTATGGTCAAAAGACGTCCCAAGACGTCAGTTATATGACGTCTTGGGATGAGACTGCGCTGCTGGAACAGGCAATGGCTCTGCCTCCGGCTCTGGAACAGGCCATGGCTCTGCCTCCGGCTCTGGAACAGCAGACACTGGCTCCGGCTCTGGAACAGCAGACACTGGCTCCGGCCCTGGAACAGACACTGGCTCCGGCCTGGGAAAAGACACTGGCATGTCCAGGATCCGAGCCAGACGCACCAGATAGTCCAGGTCCATGAAGGCAGACGGAACGTGAACAGTCTCTGACTGGGCAGACGGAACGTGAACAGTCTCTGACTGGGCAGACGGAACGTGAACAGTCTCTGACTGGGCAGACGGGACGTGAACAGTCTCTGACTGGGCAGACGGGACGTGAACAGTCTCTGACTGGGCAGACGGGACGTGAACAGTCCCTGACTGGGTAGACGGGACGTGAACAGTCTCTGACTGGGCAGACGGGACGTGAACAGTCTCTGACTGGGCAGACGTGCCGTGGACAATCTCTGACTGGGCAGACACAGGTCTCCTTCTCCTCCGTTTCGGGACCACCTTACTCGGGACCACCGGAACTGGGACCACCGGAACAGGGACCACCGGAACAGGGACCACCGGAACAGGGACCACCGGAACTGGGACCACTGGGACATTAGTGAGACGGGAAGTCTTCCTCCTCCTCTTTGTCCGCGAGCAACTGGGTGCTGTTCTCTCCCCGGAATTAACCGGGAGCACAGCATTCTCCTCCCTGATACGAGCCATAGAAGCAAGAGCCTGAAAAATATTCATGCTGCTGGATCCGTTTGAGGACGGAGTCATTCTGTCACGACAGATAGTGGAGAATTGGGTGGATCCAAATGCAGCAATGGTATAGTCAGGGCAATCCAAATCATCATCATCCATGCAAGCGTCATAATCCAGATAATCAGAATCGTAGTCATTCATGCCAGTGTCGAAATCCATTTTAATCAGTCTGAATAATAATATTACAAAACAAGCGAGAACAGACAAGAAACAAACCTCAGAGTTGCAGCGTGACAAACAATACAATGACTCCGTGACATGAACTAACAAAACCAGGGTATTTATGCACAGACACTAACAACATAAATGGGAACAGCTGGGTGCAATCACAAGTGATGGGAACAAACCAGGATTATGGGAAATGTGGTTCTAGAGTGAATGGATACAGGAAGGAAGGGACCTCTAGTGGACACCCAGTGAAAACACAACCAGACACTGCGACATTCAGGGAAGAAGGAGGTTGAAACAGGCAAACGAGCAACATACTTTAATATCAAAATAAACAAACACAAAATGAAATTAAAGCGGCAGCCCCTCAAGAACGACTGCCGCACCTACATAAACCACAACTTAAAGTCCAGGCTTGGTCCTCTCTCGTCCTACACTGTCGTCAATTCTCCTTTTATGCATCCGGGGCTTCTCCGTGAGTCACTCAAGGATCCGTTCTCACGACTCTTGGGCCCTCCCTGCTTGCCACACTAACTTTAACTTAAAAGTATCTAAAAAGACAGTCGTACTTTATTCCAAGAAACGAAAATGTCTCTGAATAATTTGTTTTTTCACAACTACTGAGAACATTGTTACAAATATCATGACCACTATTATTTGACATGACACCTGACATGATCTGTACCTTTCCCACAGGTCCCGAGATCAAGGTCACCAGGGTTATTGAGCGTGAGCCCATCAAAGTTACAAGAGTGGTTGAAGGAGAACCAAGCATCACAAAAGTTACAAGAGTGGTTGAAGGAGAACCAAGCATCACAAAAGTTACAAGGGTGGTTGAAGGAGAACCAAGCATCACAAAAGTTACAAGAGTGGTTGGAGAGCCAAGCATCACCAAAGTTACAAGAGTGGTTGAAGGAGAACCAAGCATCACCAAAGTTACAAGAGTGGTTGGAGAGCCAAGCATCACCAAAGTTACAAGAGTGGTTGAAGGAGAACCAAGCATCACCAAAGTTACAAGAGTGGTTGGAGAGCCAAGAGTCACCAAAGTTACAAGAGTGGTTGAAGGAGAACCAAGCATCACCAAAGTTACAAGAGTGGTTGAAGGAAAGCCGTCTGTTTCAAAGGTCACAAGGCTCATTGAAAGTATGTCCAAACTTCAAATTAAAGGATAATTCCGGTATTTAGCACTTTGAGTCTATTTTCTAGTTTGTTTTGGATGAACTAGAGTGTTGTACACAGAAATTTTGACGATGGGTCCTGTCTCGACTTTTTGACTATTTTAGAATCGCCTCTGACCGCTTCAGAGTGGCTGTCCATGGGCATGCACAAACATGTCCTTAAAACAACCCTTAACATTCGTTTTCAAAACTGTGCAACTCACCGAGTGGTTAGTGGTGTTGTAGTTGATGTTCCAAAACAAGTAGCGTAGTGAAATACAGTTTCTGTCGTGTTTTTATTTGGCATTTTGTAAAATCGCATGATTTCTGTTGGAGGACTCAGTGCTCGTTGATATTACTGCGCTACCGGAAACGGAAAGGGGTCTGTTTACATTTGGTTGTAGTCTTTTCGCTCGGTTCTCCGTCTCTCAGAAGGCTAGCGTGAGCTGAGCAACTGCGGCAAAGTGGTTGTCGCCATCACGTGGTCGGGAATGTGCTAACGCTTCAGACTCAAATATTGAGCATAAGTTTATACGCGGTTGTGAGGTATCTGAAAAAATAGTTCCACTATAGCAAATAACACGGAATGAAATCATACATTGCGCCGATATATTTGTTTTTAATCATCAACGAACACCACTAACCACTCGGTGAGTTGCACAGTTTTGAAAACGAACGTTAAGGGTTGTTTTAAGGACATGTTTGTGCGTGCCCATAGACAGCCACTCGGAAGCGGTCAGAGGCGATTTTAAAGAGTCAAAAAGTCGACACAGGACCCATCGTCAAAATTTCTGTGTCCACCACTCTAGTTCATCCAAAACAAACTAGAAAATAGACTCAAAGTGCTAAATACCAGAATTATCCTTTAAGTATCAAGGTTAATTTTATAAAAAAAATATTTTTTCTTGCAACATTGATTTTGCATTCATTCTTTTCGCTCAGCTCACAGTGCCTCATCTGATGGTGGGATTGATGCTGAGGGAGAAATCAAGAGAATCATGGGTGAAGGTCATTCATTTTTTATTTGGTTGTGTAGTTCAACATTCCTATTTGGTCAAGTTGTTAAGAGTTAAATTGTCCAGTTGGTTTTATTAAACATTTGAGAAAGGATTCTATTGTAGTAAGAACTGGATTAGAAAGAGATATTCAGCATGTTCAAGTCTGTTCTCAAAACAAGTTACTCATACTTTAAAAATTCAGTTTGGTTCAGAATGGCTGTAAACAATTTTTTTTTTTGTCCTATTCTGTCTGATACAACATTGAAAGGATTCTTGTGGCACAGCCATGTTAAATATTATCACTTTATATGTTGTAGATATAACCAAGCTTCAGACGTTTCAGAGTGGTGACGTACACATGCTCCAGGAGGAAGACATCAGACAAATCACTGACGCAATCACGCAGGGAGGTTGGTCTAAGAGAGTTTTAATTGAGTTATGGATTATATTAACAAAAAAAAGGCCGCAATGTTGCTGAATGGTAAAAGCAACCCGTTATCTGATATGAACTGCATTATAGACTCCTTTTTCATAAACATGACATCATCATAGTGTTATATTAATATTATTTATGTGCTATTAAAGTATTTTTAATTAGCTTTTATTTTTATATTTTCAGTTTTCAATTCAATTGTAGTTTTAGAAATGTATTTTATTTTACATAGTTACAAAGTCAACATTTAAAAAATGTCTGTTTATTTTTTTTTATCCAATATTAATAATAGTTTATTTTATTTCATCTTTATATCAATTAATGCTAATTATTTTTAATAGTTTTAATTTTAGTCAACAATAACACTGACCTTGGTACTTGTATTTAAAGGTTAATGTATTTTGAACAAATCAAACCTAAATCAGTGAGCCATTTACACTTGAACCAAGAGACCGTTCTTGAATCTCCCCCTTTATCACAATTTTTTTCAGATATCTTTCTCTGCTGCCAAACACTTTTCCCCATAATCCTTGGCATATGTAATGATCATGTTCTTTCCCATATTTTTTTTTTTTGCCATTGATCCAAACATTAATTTGATTTATGATTTTGAAAGGCTTGGGATCTGTAAGACTCTTTTGTAGCTTCCTAAAGAGCTTGACATTTTTATTGAGAGCAGCTGTGAACTTGGTGATTCGTTCTTGTTTAGTAATGTTTAATGTTTGTTTGTCCGTCTAATTTTATGCCCATGGATTACAATCCCTAGTTACGTAATAGAATAAAGCCCCATTGGTTTTCCCATGGCTCACACATGGCTCTACTCATGATGCTTTAGATTTAAGTTCCTACTCTATGGTTTTCATTCATTTTTGGCAAGATCACACTTATGATTAGCTAAAAGAAAGAATGGTTTTACTCCAGAATATTTAAGCAGTACAGTTAAAGTAAGATTAAGGCTTTCATTATTGACTATTACTCACTGATTTGGCTCAGGGTTTCACTTTTGCCCTGAAGTTTGTTCATCCATTGTTCTCATGTCTCCTTGTTCTCAAAGGTGGACCAGGTATCACCACTATAACTAGAGTAATCAAACCAGAGCCCCAGGTTGTTGAAAGTAAGACCTAATAAAGCAAATGATGATATGATATATAGGTTTTGCCCAGATGTTTGTGTCATAGACTTCTCTTTTTGCTTGAAGGCGAACCAGGGATCACCACCTTTACCAGAGTAATCAAAAAAGAGTCTCAGATCACTGAAGGTGAGACGTAATACATAAATACATAGACATAATATGTGGTTTTAAAATTTGAACCAAATCAAATGTTCATCTTTTTGTGCTCAAAGGTGCCCAAGGAGACACCAGTATTACCAGAGTAATTAAACCAGAACCGCAGATCATTGAAGGTAAGATATGATATTTACACTTCTGATATTACAGATTTTTTTGCTGTAGTTTTTTTAAACTAAATGGACAGTTGATATTCGATATGCATACTAATTTCTCCTACTTTTACAATCTTTAAAAACACTAATTAATTAACACTGTGGCACAGGGACGTGCACAGGGGGGTTGCTCAGGTTGCCCGGGCAACTGCCCATATGCCCTTCTCACTCAAGTTGCCCTTCCGAGAAAAAAATTAAATCGTGCAATGGATGCAGAATTTCACGTAGGCCTAGATTAAAAAAAAAATCGCAAAGCCTCATTCACTTCCATTCGGGCACCGAAAGTGAAAGTCAGTATGAAGGGCAAACGCTGCACGCGACTGGCGTAGGGCCAAGCAAATTACTTAAGGCCACGCCTCCATCTCGTGTCATAGTCATAGCGCGCCGTCAAATGTGTAGCTACAACATCCACGACAAAATGAAGCGAAACTATCCTTCTGGTCACGAAAAGAGGAAGAAGAAAAAAAACATGAGAGTGAATTGCGGGAACAACAATCAGGAACTTGTGTTCTCTCCTCTCTAAGTTTGATGTCAGCAAAGTTTGATGTTTTTCGGTCTTGCTAACCTAGCTGGGCAGGCAGTGCATCTCTTGCATCACTTTGTGGCTGACAAAAGTGAGAGTAAAATACAATTATTTATTACGTTTGATTTTGATAAACGACAAAGTGCAACGGTGTTTGTTTACTGCAGCTCGGAAAACATAACCACGTCGCGTGTGTTATCGTGCGTTCATGCGCGTGCACGCAATGAAACTCGCATTTTTCAAGCAGAATATGTGGAGACCAGACATACTGTAATACATGCACGTGAATGATGGCACTCCCAATCAAAGTACACATTATACTTTTAAAACAAGACACTGATTATCTAGTCTCAGTGTAGTTAAAAACTCTAAACAACTGCACTAATTATGCAAGATAGAAAGCAATGTATTGACAATTTGACATTGATTGACTATTGATTTATAGGCTATATTGAATTAAAAATGTTGATTAGCTGGACATAATGGTCAAAATGGATGCACATCCCTCAGTAAATAATAACCATAAATTAAGAATTGCTTCAACATGCATAATAAAAAATTAAAAAAATCTTACTGATGCCGAAAATGCCCAGGCTGTAGAAAGAACCAAAGTTAATCCCAAAAGCCAAAGCTCAGGGTTATTATTTATTATTTTCTTCTTATTTATGTTTACGTTAATATTCACTTACTTAATAATATTCACTTATTATCTTAACATTCTACTCTATTCAATAAATATTGTGTGATTGAACCTCATTCTGTTCTATATTGTTGTACTTATTCTTTGACTGTTTTGTTTAAAGGAGGGAGGATTGTATGGGAGCGCTGAAGTGTCAGGTGTGACTGTGGCAATGGCAAATGGTTTACATAGCTCGATCATGGCGTCACAGGTCAGGTAGAGGGCCCTTTAGCAGAATTTTGCTTAGGGCCCCAGGGAGGTCAGGATCGGCACTGGGTGTAGCAGTCGGCCCGGGCAACTGCCCATATGCCCTTCTCACTCAAGTTGCCCTTCCGAGAAAAAAATTAAATCGTGCAATGGATGCAGAATTTCACGTAGGCCTAGATTAAAAAAAAAATCGCAAAGCCTCATTCACTTCCATTCGGGCACCGAAAGTGAAAGTCAGTATGAAGGGCAAACGCTGCACGCGACTGGCGTAGGGCCAAGCAAATTACTTAAGGCCACGCCTCCATCTCGTGTCATAGTCATAGCGCGCCGTCAAATGTGTAGCTACAACATCCACGACAAAATGAAGCGAAACTATCCTTCTGGTCACGAAAAGAGGAAGAAGAAAAAAAACATGAGAGTGAATTGCGGGAACAACAATCAGGAACTTGTGTTCTCTCCTCTCTAAGTTTGATGTCAGCAAAGTTTGATGTTTTTCGGTCTTGCTAACCTAGCTGGGCAGGCAGTGCATCTCTTGCATCACTTTGTGGCTGACAAAAGTGAGAGTAAAATACAATTATTTATTACGTTTGATTTTGATAAACGACAAAGTGCAACGGTGTTTGTTTACTGCAGCTCGGAAAACATAACCACGTCGCGTGTGTTATCGTGCGTTCATGCGCGTGCACGCAATGAAACTCGCATTTTTCAAGCAGAATATGTGGAGACCAGACATACTGTAATACATGCACGTGAATGATGGCACTCCCAATCAAAGTACACATTATACTTTTAAAACAAGACACTGATTATCTAGTCTCAGTGTAGTTAAAAACTCTAAACAACTGCACTAATTATGCAAGATAGAAAGCAATGTATTGACAATTTGACATTGATTGACTATTGATTTATAGGCTATATTGAATTAAAAATGTTGATTAGCTGGACATAATGGTCAAAATGGATGCACATCCCTCAGTAAATAATAACCATAAATTAAGAATTGCTTCAACATGCATAATAAAAAATTAAAAAAATCTTACTGATGCCGAAAATGCCCAGGCTGTAGAAAGAACCAAAGTTAATCCCAAAAGCCAAAGCTCAGGGTTATTATTTATTATTTTCTTCTTATTTATGTTTACGTTAATATTCACTTACTTAATAATATTCACTTATTATCTTAACATTCTACTCTATTCAATAAATATTGTGTGATTGAACCTCATTCTGTTCTATATTGTTGTACTTATTCTTTGACTGTTTTGTTTAAAGGAGGGAGGATTGTATGGGAGCGCTGAAGTGTCAGGTGTGACTGTGGCAATGGCAAATGGTTTACATAGCTCGATCATGGCGTCACAGGTCAGGTAGAGGGCCCTTTAGCAGAATTTTGCTTAGGGCCCCAGGGAGGTCAGGATCGGCACTGGGTGTAGCAGTCGATTCTGTTCCTTACCGGAATTCCTGTTCCCTTTACGCAATCATACTACAAATCATGCGTAGTTGCCCAGATGAGCAAAAAGCACAATTGAATGTACGGGAAGCCAAAAGGTTAAAAAAGGATTGTATTTTTTCCGAAATCTAAGCGTTATTTTATTTTATTAGAAGCGAGTTTTTCCCCATCTGTCAATTCAATCCAGATTATTTATTTAAAAAATAAAATAATAATAATTAAAAAACAATAAACAATAATATGAGGAACTCTTTTTCTCATGTGTATTTTGGTGACATTTAACATATTGTTAATACATTTTGTATACTGTTTACAAAGTTGTATATCATAAACCTGTCATCTTTGACGTTTGCAATCTTTATAAATAATAATAAGACCATAATATGAGGCATTGCGTTTGGACATAAACACGATCAGATAAGGCAATTTGTATGGGCAAAATTCAACTGAATATATTCCTTCATATAGCCCGTGAGTTTTGGGAGTAGTGCCCTTTTTTCAGGTCAGAGCAACTGCCCCACAAAATTCCTGTGCACGTCCCTGCTGTGGCATCTTTATTAACTCTCAAAATGTCATTTTTTATGCTTTACATTATAGTGTTTTGATGCCTAAATTCAGCTGTGATGTTTAAAGTGAAAGAATTTGATTATTATAACATGCTAATTATTGTCTTATCACAATCAGCCAGAATTTAAATATCAGTTTCAATAACTGTATACAATTAGAAAAAAAGGTTCAATTAGATTTAATATAGAACCTTACAGTTCTTCACTCAATTTTAAAGAACACTTTATGCCAAAAAGGCATAATACTTTCATATTTAATGGGTTATTTAAATTATTCTAGTGATAAAGTATGTTTACGAGCTGTTTAATTTATAAAATGTTATTAAAATAAAAAAAATTAACCAAAACTAAATCTATAAAATGATCCCATATTGGGAAGGTTCTATATATGAAGTGCCTGACAGAACCCTTTAATAGATGATGATTGAGTGTAATAATATTACATATTTGAATATTTACTGAATTTAATTGTATGCCTCTTTTAGTTCCAGATTTCTCAAAGATTGTATCTTTGAAGGACAATCCAGATCTCTTTGAATCAGAAACTGAGAGAATCACCAGAATCATCAAGGGTTAGTGGCTTCATAGCTCGGTGCGGATGATATGAAGAAGGATCTGATGGCGAAAGTTTAATTGATTTTTTTTTTTCTTTTTTTTCCAGAGGGGCGTTTTAAAAAACGAGCCGCCATCAGACAACCACAAGGTATACATTTCAGTTTATTAACATCTGATGTGTTCTTGAAGTCATTGTGTTGCTCTTTTTATACCTATTAAGATTTAAAATACTTTAAAATAGTTTTAGCACCTTTTTTTTTTCAAAACCAACTTTGTCATAATCCATAGACAAAGAGGAAAATGAACCATAGATGTGTAGATTAACTTTTTTATATATATATGCGTGTGTGTGTGTGTTTGTTTGTGGACTAAAACACAGGAACAAGACGAAGAGTGAGACTGGTCAGGCGTCACTCCAAACCAAGACAATGAGATGAATGGACGCTCACTGTACCTGGAGATCCAGCTTTAAGGGATGGTTCGGAGTAATTTCAACCTAGGGTCCTTTGCACCATGACCTCGAGCCAAACACCCCACCCAGAAGCTTTTTTTCCCTTGGACGAACATTATTAAAGTTAGAGCTTATTTAGAGATATCAGCCGAATGGCTTAGTGCAGGCGCTAATGGATCCAAGGTTGTATCTCTTAAATTACTCTACTAATAATCCCCGGAATGGTACCAAACTTGTACAGTAGCACAAATAGGTTCAACCTTGGATCCATTAGCGCCTGCACTAAGCCCATTCGGCTGATATCTCTAAATAAGCTCTAACTTTAATAATGTTCGACCAAGGGAAAAAAAGCATCAAAGTTTGGTTCGAGATCATGGTGCAAAGGACCCTAGGTTGAAATTACTCCGAACCAATCCCTTTAAGTGAAAGACAGTGTTGTAGAACAGTGTGTTTGTCCTGAAAATACACTTTTGCTACAAACCGCATTGAATGTTTACACATTACAAACCAGCGCAGTAATATCTTGGATCTGTGTGGCAAACACCCCACTTCAACTCAGATAAGGGGTACTTGAAATGGTGGTGGTTACAAAGAGACTTTGCTCCTTTTTTCCAGCTGTTTATATTGTTTCTTTGAATATATACTGTATGAGCCTTGTCATTGAGCTTATGGTGCTTGCATTCCGACACATGAATGCGTTTTTATCTGATCAGGATCAGCAAAGCTTTGGCTTTTGTGTTTACTTTAAATTATGCAGCTTTAAACTGTCCATTATTCAGCTGAAGTTCATTTTTATGAATGTATTCACTTAAATTTTTTTTTTTAATAGACAAGACTTTTCATTTGTACAAATTAAAATCATCACATTGAAATAATGTAGCTAAAATAAATAAATAAAACAATTTCATTTTAAAAGACAACTCTACTTGTGATTTTATTGTTCACCTCCAAAACTGTCTGTAAAAAAATGTATACTATTGTTTTTCAATTCAGATCATTAAATATTGACCAGCAGTGTGACCTGTCCTGGGACATTGTGCTTTGACAATGACTGTTAATGATGAGTCTAATGATAATAGGCATCACCAATCATTTGTACAAAGTCACTTTTGAAAATGACTGAATCTTAGTCTCCACACATTATGATGAAAAAGTCATGATGATTTGCTATCCATCTTGAGTTTACTGTGAGCTAAACACGTTAATCCCTTTATGTTCTCATTTATAGATAGATAGCATGTCAAAAATGACACAAAGTGAATGCAAAAACTAACACTGCAGAGTAAAAGAAGCACATGTTGACATAAGTGCTTATGTAACTGCATGTATATGCCTTTACACATGACATATGGGTGACTTAATGTAGCAAGTTGTTTTAGATGTATATACACTCAAAGCTCTCCATTGTTTGCACTGGTCTAAAGTGAAAGCTGCTAAATTCACACCTATTGATGCAAATTATCCACTAAAATTAAAACCATAAAGAAACATTTTCATTAAAATAAAATATAAAAACCTTTCAGGCAGTTGCAAAGACAATCTGACTTAAATCTGCCTTATATGTAACATACATAGTTTTTGCCATTGCTAGTGATTGCTATGTAACTTGAGATTGTCAGCTTTCAGCACATTTCCTTTAACAGTTCTTTGTGCATACTGACTAGTGATCTTACTTTGTCTTTAGCCAGCCAACAACAACTGACCTTACCTCAAGGACAATAGAAAAGACCATTTCTTTCTCCACACAAATGCCACAGAGAAAGTCTTGTGTATTGTGGCTGAACGTGCAAGTTCACACATATGTGTTCTATTATTCTCCATGTATGTGTGCTCTTGCATGGGGACATTTCTGCATAACGAACAGGGTTTCTCATGTTTGGAGAGATGAGAGGAAACTTGCTTGGATTACTACACACTACTAGAAGTTACAGCACAGAATCAAATTTGATTTGGATCTCATAAATAAGACAATTCATTACCATTGGAACTGCAAAAAGAATGACTGTTTCAAATGGGTTTCTCTAAGAAGTGATGGGAATGATAGAGCTGAGAAGCAACCCCTTCTGTTTAACAAGATGCTGTCCCTGATATAAGTGTGTTGGCATGCCTTTGACTCCAGTCATATATCTGACATAAAGTCGTCATGTCTGTAAGCATGTCGTTTTACAGTGATTTATATTGGGAGTGAGGTGATGAGGAGTGATATGCCTACAGGGTTCAAGAACTCCTTCATTAGGCTGCTTCAGTATTGAGAGATGGGCTCCAACTAAGAAAGTCAAAAGTACATCTGCTGATGTGCCATTGGCAAGAGAACTGAAGAAACACTCTTTTCACTGCATACATGTTGAAATATGGGAATTTAAGTAATAAAACCGCAGAGATGATCATTAACAATTATTATTTTATTGGAGTTTCTCATGGTCATGCAGTTAAATCTAATGGACTGTTGTTTATTCCATCCATCCCTCCGTCCATCCATCCATCCATCCATCCATCCATCCATCCATCCATCCGATGTTTTATCTAGGCTATCTATCCATCTGTCTGTCTGATGGTTTATCTATCCATCCATCCATCCATCCAAGTTTAAATTGAAAAATGTTATTGTCAAAAAGATCTCTTTTTGTATCACAGTGAACATTCTAGTAGATAAAACAGGATAATTTGTGTGAGTTTTGGACTTGTATCAGTTGTGACAGATCCTCTGTGGAAAAACCGACTGTGTGTGTCAAGTTGCAGAAAGGAGAAGGCTCCCAGGTGGTGCACAAAAGTCTTTGCCCTGCATGTGGGGATGATTGCTGTGATTAGGGTTTTTTACGAGAGCAAACGAGTCATAAAACATACTGAAGCAGCTGTGGTCCTTTTCATCATGGGGCTTCAGACCTTTCAAACCAAGTAAATAACTGTACTTCTGCTTCTTGCTGTCACCGAAAGTTATTACGGCCTCTAACTTTTTTCTGACTTAAAAAAATGCACATTACAGCCATCACTTAATAGTTAGGACATAGTTTAAAGTAACATATATTTTTTATTGCCATGAGAGTGTTGAAACACCTCTGTCTTCTCATACCAAAACATGTAATCATGCCTTATTTCTCTCTAGCAGAGCACAGCAGGAAGTTTATTGAAGATAGAGCGAATCAATGGCAGTAAGGTCAATAACACAAATATGTAAGACTAATGGCTCTGCTGAGTCTTTACACAAAGCTGTAAAAATGACAGATAGAGTGCGTGCAGCTTGCTGGAGGCCAAAAAGTCCAAATTCAGAGTAAAATGTGTTCTCTTGTGACTTTCATGTCAAGAATCGTTCTCGTTGATTTGACAGCCAAGGAACACTCTTGATCGACACTGGCTTGAAGCCAGACTTCACTGGAAGCTCTGTGTCAGTGCTTAGAGATCGAATTTAACAAGAAAATAGTTGTGAAGAGGGACTTGTAGCACACAACAGTAGATCCATGACGTTCCATGGTCACTCTGGTTTTGCCAAGTAAGACATATTCCTGGATCAACATATTTTGTTGATCCTGAAACAACATTCCTGCCCAAAAATTGTGTTATCCCTACCCCTAAACCTAACCCTACCCATAAGTTATCCCTAAAATCTGAGGGAAATGATAGGTGCATTTCACTGATGTAGAAGCACGTAACCATGGTTGTAAGCCTAAACTGACTTTAACTGTATAAACTTGTCTCTCAAATCTGATTGGTCGATTGGAATTTTGTTCCAGGATCAACACAAATGTTGATCCAGGAACATGTTGCACTTGGTGAAATGACGTTCACTGACTTTCCATGTTTCTGGAGCCCTATACAACACTTGGTGGAGCAGGGTCCTGTCTAGTACACATTTTAGAGTACATTCACGATTTAAAGGAGTACATTCACGACAATTATGATAAAATCTTGTCATTTCAATCCCATGTATCCACACTCTCTGGAAGATGGTTATGGAAATATTTTCACTAATCCAATATGTCAATATTGCCGCATCCTCTAGGCAAAGCAAGTAGTTCTCGCAAATTAAAGTCGGCATAAAAAAGGTTGCGATAGTATTTTCTTCCCTATGATGTGTATCTGAGCGGAATGGCTTCTCGAACAAGAAACAAATAAAGGCAGTACTTGATTTTGTCCAACGTGAATTGATCATTGTGGTTTGCTGTGATCTCATGTGAGTGACAGAAGCTGTGTTTGAAATTGCCCCCACACCCTCATTTACTATTCCCTACATTAGTCCACTATACTTTACAGTTCACTTGAAAGAATTCAAACACTGAGTGCACCAGAAGGGCTGCCGTTTTAGTTTGTGCTTGCTGTTTGAACATCATTTGACACTCAGCTAACTGGCAGAACCAAATGTAATGAAAAGATTTATCTTGAACTCCTTCATGGAAAATATAAACCATAATTAAACAATCTAATAATCAATTAAAAATACATTTATACCTGTATGATATTATGCTGAACTCACATTGGACCAGTAGTTTGGAAAATGGATGGATGGATGATAACCATAGACAGTAAAAGATGATAACCTGCGGGTACCATCTTCTGGCGAGACACAGGAATTCATTCAGCGTGACCCTCAGAGTGCATTATGGGTATTATCTAGCTGTTTAGTGTACATCGGTTGTACATGTTACAGGTGATCTGTGTTCTTTGTATGTTGGGGTGGGTTTTGTTTAATAAATATACAAATAGATATTTTTCCTCATAGTTTGTGCAACCGGTTGCGGTGCATTTGAAGGATTGAAGGATTGCAGTCGATAACATTCACTATGGTTTCGGACACCACTACAAATAGCCGTTCCCTCAAATAGTGCCGTTTTTGAGGGTATGGGGTGATTTTGAACACAGCCAACTTGTCTCGCCCTTGTGGCTCGCTAGATAGTTTCAAGAGGGAGGGGGCGTTTTTTTTTTATTAAAGATCAAGGGCACGTGAATTTTAAAAAAGTAATGATGTGCACGGATAAATAATTTATAATTAATACTGTAATATTCCATAAAATAATAAGAATTTGCCATTTTGATTTCATGGTGACTTTAAACTCCATCGTGTTGATGATATTTGCCACCTGTCCCGTAGAATAGCTACGGAAT